GGTTCGAACCTCGGCGCAAACTCAAATGGGTCCACGGGGCCCGACTGGGGCTCAGACGCACCAGTTTCCCGAGCCGCGTCCAGCCGCGGCGACGACGAAGGCCCCCGAGGGCCAGGATGCCTCGATCCTCGAGGTTCGAGGTTCGCATCCCTCGGCTCGAACCTTTCAACGGGTTCCGGCCTGGCCCCTCCACCTCCTTTGCCTTGCTTCTGCACTCCCTCCAGCGCTCGTGCCCTCCACCTCCTCTCACCTCCTGGGGGGAGGGGGGAGCGAGGCAGAGGGAAAAGGAGGAGGAGGAGGATGAGGAGGACGAGGAGGACGAGGAGGGTTGGAACAGGATCGGAGGAGGATGTGATGGGGGATCGGAGGAGGGGCATGAGGAGGAGGAGGGGTGCACAAGCTTTGTGGTGTACGCTGGCATTCTGGTGCAAACACGGGGCGTTGAAACAGCAGCTGTGGTGCACGCGGGCGCCGTGGTGTGCACCAATAGTGAGATGTACAAGGGCGCTGTGGTGCACCCGCCTGTCATGATGTGCTCAGTCGCCGTGGTGCACACACACATACCATTTCTGCCGCAGTTGCGGTGTACAAAGGCATCGCGGTGTACAGAGCCTGTGTAGTGTGCACAGGCACGGTCGGCTTCGACGACGACGACAGCGGCGACGACGACGACGACGACGACGACGACGAAGCCTACCGTGCCGACAGTTGTGCTGGTAATAAGTACCAGGGCCCGTGCGAGGGCCCCGCCGCGCGTTACCGTTACCCCCAACTTGGGGCCGGACCCCCCCCCCCCCGTAACGGGCGTTACCCCCCCCAATAAAAAAAATGCTCCATGCTCTTTGGTCCTTGAAGTTTGGTACGCAGGCGGAATAGCAGGAAGGTGAAGCCGACAATTCAGCGATAACTCCTTGTTGCCTGTTCTGGCATCGCCGCTATACTAATGTTATTCGGTATCCTTCCTCCATGTTTCTTTTTCCTTATTTTCGCCATGCCCTGCGCATTCTCCCCATCCTCCTCAGCTCTTTTTTGCGGAGGTTCCTCCTTGGAGAGCCTCTGGGGGCCTCACGCAAGTTATTTCAAGCTTTCTTAAGGCCTTCTGGAGGCCTCCTGGGCGTATTCTGGGGGCATCTGGGGGCTTCCTCGGGCCACCCTGCCTCCAACCGCGGTCTCCCTGAACGTCCGGGTCACGATTTCGAATGCTTCGGAGGGTGTCTTTGGGCCATCTTGGGCCGCCATGGGGCTCTCTGCGGGCCATCTTGGACCGTGTTGTGCCGTTTTGGGGCTCTCTTGGACTGCCTGAAGCCTTTTCGGATGGTTGTGGGGCGATTTGGGAGCCTCCCAGGCGGCTTCGGACGCCCAGAAGATCGCCGTCTTGGAGCGTCGGGAAGCCGAAAAGAGGAGAACCCCAAGATTCACCAAAAACCAATGGAAAATCAATCATTGTTGCCTCGGGGGGCCTTCTTGGAAATGCTCTTGGAGCCCTCTTTGGGGCCGTCCTGGAGGCCTCTTGGGCCATCTTGAGGTCACGTCGGTCACTCTTGAAGCGCTCTTGTGCTGTCTTGGGGGTCTCTGGGACGTCTCCGATGACCCTCCTGATCGCCCTAGGTGTGCTGGGAAGGCTTGGCAAAACGCCCTGCGAGGATCTTGGGGCCGCTTCGAGGCCCGTCCGGAGGGTCCCCAAACCCCAGATCCCAGGAGTCCGGTTTTGGGGGGGGGGGGGAGTGGTATATATATTATATATATATATATATATATATATATATATATATATATATATATATCACACTCCTCTTCCTACATTTTTGCAAGCCCGGGCGGGGGAAAACCCATCACCCCCCCCCCCCCCAAAAACCGACTCCCGGGATCTGGCGCTTTGGGACCCTCCAGACGGGCTTCGAAGCTGCCCCCGGGCCTCACATTGCGCTTTGCCAAGCCTTCCCAGCACACCTAGGGCGATCAAAGGGGGTCATCGGAGACGTCCCAGAGACCCCTAAGACAGCACAAGAGCGCTCCAAGAGTGACCGACGTGACCTCAAGATGGCCCAAGAGGCCTCCAGGACGGCCCCAAAGAGGGCTCCAAGAGCACCCCCAAGAAGGCCCCCCGAGGCACAAAATCATTGATTTTCCATTGGTTTTTGGTGAATTTTAGGGTTCTCCTCTTTTCGGCTTCCCGACGCTCCAAGACGGCGGTCTTCTGGGCGTCCGGAGCCGCCTGGGAGGCTCCCAAATCGGCCCACAACCATCCAAAAGGGTTTCCAGGCAGTCCAAGAGAGCCCCAAAACGGCACAACACGGGTCCAAGATGGCCCGCAGACAGCCCCATGGCGGCCCAAGATGGCCCAAAGACACCCTCCGAAGAATTCCAAATCGTGATTCGATCGTTCAGGGAGACCGCGGTTGGAGGCAGGGTGGCCCGAGGAACCCCCCCGAGGAGCCTCCGCAAAAAAGAGCTGAGGAGGATGGGGAGAATGCGCAGGGCATGGCGAAAATAAGGAAAAAGAAACATGGAGGAAGGATACCGAATAACATTAGTATAGCGGCGATGCCAGAAAAGGCAACCAGGAGTTATCGCTGATTTGTCGGCTTGACCTTCCTGCTATTCCGCCTGCATACGAAACTTCAAGGACCAAGGTGCATGGCGCGAAGCGCCACTTCAGTCTTGTGTATATATATATATATAGATATAAGTTGGGAATCCTTGGATTTGAGTGTTTATTTGTGTGTCCCTGGGCTCCTTCAAGGGGTAACTGCAGAGTCGCGCCTCGGGGGCCCAGACCAGAGTTACCCCGGGCCGCAGCTACCCCGGAGAGCTCGGTCGTCCAAGGGTGTTGGAGGGCGCGCGTAATGGGAGGGCGGTACAGGGGTGGCAGCGAGGGCTACCGAAAGGCAAGGAAGTGCGCGCCCCGCGCGTGCTAAGGATGCCCAGGGGCGAAGGATGCAAGGCGTCCTGGCGATAGGGTCCAATGCTTAACTCTGGCTTCGTTCCATTCTGGGGCCCCTGGGGCCCAGTGGAACTCGTGAGGTGTGCTCTGAAGGCCGTGGGGGCCTCCTTGGAAGTCCTGGTGACACCTTGGGCCAGGCCCCCTTTAGGACCCAGCAGGGGCTCTAAGCTTACGGAAAAGGCACCTTTTCCCCCCCCCCCCCCCCCCCATTTATCGCCACCACTTACTTCGCGCCCAAGAGGGGCCAAGCCCGGCGAGTGTGCCCTCGAGTCGCCAGTGCGGGCGCGAGGACAGTCGCCCTTCGCGCTCCGCGGCCTGCGCTCCGCAGTGCTAACCATCCTCCAGGGCGGCGCGGGGGCACGGAGCACTGGCCGCGGCTCTGGCGCTCCGCGCAGCGCGGGGTTCGCGGCCAGTTGGCCCGAGAACTTGCGTCCAACATTTTAGGCTTCCTAGCCCAGGCCCCCTCGGGTAATGAAAAAAACATGACGGGAGTTGTTCCTTTTGCTATTTTCAGCCTCTGGGGGCCCTTGCTATTTTCAGCCTCTGGGGGCCCTTAGCGGCCCTCGAGACCGTCAAAAACCGACTCAGGATGGAAGACCGGTCCAGGGGAATGGATCGAGAACTCCAGGGGTCGACGTAATGAGAAAAAAGTGGCGTCAGGGGTTTGGGTAGGTGGGTTCGGAGTAGACGGGGTCGGAGGATCGCGGCGCATAGCCGATGCATCGCCTATGCTGCTCGATGTGGGGCACGATTCTCTCCGCGCTGGCGTCGCCGATGCATCGCCGATTTGTCGCCGATGCGTCGCCGATGCATCGCCGTTGCATTGGCGATGCGACGCGAACCTCCGACCCATGTATTCGGACCCCATCTGGGAGGCCTCCGAACACGGCTGCCTCCTTCCTTCTACGAGCAGTGGCGAAGCGTCCTGGCGTACCTAGAAGCCCAACAAATAATGTTCTAAGAACCGTTTATGGTCTGCACGATATGTTCTTAGACCATTTCTGGTCGAGACTGTTTTGTTTTAACACATCCGGCGGATGTTCTAAGAGCATTGCTCGTCTTATTCGAACAGTCCTTGTTCTGAGAACATTGCGTGGTAGGCCTATAGGAATGCTGGGACGGCATGTCCCTGCTGAACTTATCCTTGTCACAGTCGTCGTCCTCTTCCTCTGACATGGGGGCCTCGAGCCAAACGGAGTTCTGGCGATTTCGTGGGCCTTGCTCGTTTGGATGCCGTTTCGCAGAGGCAGAAGGGAGGGAGAACGGAAACAAAACGACTACGAACAACTCTGTTTAGCTCCAGCCCTTGGCTGCCTCCTCCCTTCTCCTCGTCACCGTCGTTGTCCTTTGCCTCTGACGTGTGGGCCTCTTGAGCACGACGGGCCTCTCTGCCCCCTGTCTGGCCCTGGGGGCCCTCACGGCATTTGGTCCGGCCTGGGGGGCCTCGAAGGAGTGCGGGGTTCACAGCTCAGGTATACATCGGGAGGGAACAAAACAGACACAAATAATCGCCGAGTCCCAGGAAAGCATTGGAAGTGGTGGGGCAGACGAGAGTCCAGAAAAGAGGGTCGCACACAGGGGATCCTGGGATTCGTGTCTATCTATCTGTGTGTACCCGGGCCCCTTCATACACTCCGTCCAGGATACAGCCATGGCTCTGCCACGTCCGATGTGGGTCCGCCGATCGACATCTTGGCCCAGGCTGGCATGGGGGAAAAAAGCGGCCTGGTGGGCGTGCGCCCACCTCCTGAGCACTCGGAAGGCCTCGCGATCCCCCGGGGTCGTTGCAGCTGCAGCGATGGCGGTGTGGAGGTTGCTGCTGTTCGTCTGGGCGGCGGGCGCGGCCTCGGCATGGGGCGCGGACCGTGACGACCTGCGCGAGGAGGTCGCAGCGCTGCGCGCCGAGCTGGCCAAGGTGCGGCACCTCGCAGAGCAGCACACGACGGCGGAGCAGGACAGGCGTCTAAGCTCTCAGGAGAGTGCGATGACGAGCTCGTGGCTGATCTTGTGTGGGTCGCTCGCGATGTTCATGCACGCGGGCTTCGCGATGCTGGAGGCCGGGACCTGCAGGGCGAAGAACGCGTCCAACGTGTTGGTGAAGAATCTCGCCAGTCTATGCGTCAGCACGCTCGGGTTCTACTGGACTGGGTACGCGCTAGCCTACGGAGTCAGACCCGACAGCACACCTCAGGTGTCAAAGGGGGGGAACGGCTTCGTGGGCACTGCCGGCTGGGCCGGCAGGGGCTTTAATGTCGACGACCTCGACGGGAACGTCGAATCCACAGGTCATCCGTTGATGTGGTTCTTCCAGTGGGCCTTCTGCAGCGCCTCCATTACCATAGTCAGCGGCGCGGTTGCCGAGCGCGTACTGAGCCCGGCATATTGCATCTTTGCGTTTGTGATGTCTGCTTTCATCTACCCCGTGGTCGTCGCGTGGACGTGGGGCTATGGGTGTTGGGGTTTGAAAGGGAGTGCACCCGCCCCGCCTCCCTTCCCCATTGCCTCAAACAGTCCCCAGATACAGCACGGCAGAGTGCACGAGGAAACTCACATATTTTCGCCGAGTGCGGTGGGTGGGTTGAATCTGTTTTGGTCCCCAGGTGGATCAGCACCCTGTTCGACGTGGGCGTCGTCGATTTCGCGGGAAGCGGCGTCGTGCATGTCACTGGTGGCGTCGCCGGGCTCGTGGGCACGCTCGTGCTCGGTGCACGAAGGGGCCGCTTCCCGGCCTGGCGCGCGCAGCCTGGGGAATTTGACCCGCACAGCCTGCCCCTTGTCGTGCTCGGCACCTTCATCCTGTGGTTCGGCTGGAGCGAGGGAGTAACACAAGGGTGTCCACCCCGTCTCCCTTGCGTGACATATAAAATGGCAGAACATGTGCTACGCTGCTTGGCATCATCTGCTCCATGCCATGATTTGCTCCACCTGCACGCAGGCGGGAGCAAGTGGGGTCAAGTGGCCCCCTCACTTACGCAACGTCGGCCTCTGACTCGGGCAACTGCGTCAAGTGGGGCGCAGTCCAGATAGCTACCATGTAAGCGCGTCCCCGTGAGAAGCCCTAGCGTGCCAGAGGGAGTCCACAGATGCTTCTGACGAAGCGCCCAGATGGTTCAAATATTTGCGCAGAAATCCCCAGAGGGAAGAAGAAAGAGGACGCGGAAAATGAGGAGGAGGATCGTGAGGCGCAGGAAAGAGCGGATACCCCCGCCTGTCCCACTTGACACCGCATTCCCCACATGTTCCGCTTGCCGCACTTGCGCCCCGACCTCCTCGCAGAGCCAGTTGCCCGCGGGGACAGCGGAGTCAAATTGTAAAGTCGGCCAAGCTGGGCAGATTCAAGACATTGGTATCAGACACCGTGCACGCCTCCTCCCTCATAGCCTCTCCCAGACACGACAGCACCTCTCTGGAAGTAGCCCTATGTGCAAACCACCCCTCCTAGTAGTTCTTCCGCGGTGAGATATCTTCTGTTTCCCCAGGAATGGCTTCAACTGCGGATCAACGCTCGAGATGAACGAGGAGGTTGGGCTGCTGGCCGCCCAGGTGGTTATGAACACGACCATAAGCGCTGCGACAGGCGGCCTTACTGTATTCTTTCTACGATTCTTGATTATGGGTGCGTACGACGTCTGCGGCATGTGCAATGGCATCCTGGCTGGCCTCGTGTCCATCACGGCTCTCGCAAGAGAGAACACCTTTTTGTTGCCTTCCTCCCTTCTCTGGACCTCCTTTGGAAGGCCCTGTCGCTACGGTTGAAGCCGTTTTGGAATCTTGGTCAGAGCGCATCCTTGCAGAGTCCTGGGGTGGTGGGCGGTACTGTTTTTTTTTCTTTGGCTCACACCTCTCGCTTGTTCGTTGGGACCGCCTGCATTTCTGCCACTTATATCATGCCTGCTGTGCGCGCAATTGGAGGCACTTTCAACTCATCGCGCTGGCCTCACTGTTGCTGGGATGTCGCATCTAGTATCTAGTCTTCCTCCTAAAAATCTGATCTCCAAGGCTCCCTGCGCGAACGTGGAGGCTGGCAGTGCGTTCTCAATTGGTCTCATCGGTGCCTTCGTGTACCAGGCCTTCTCCATGCTTCTCGTGAAGCTCGAGGTCGACGACCCTCTGGACGCGGTCCCAGTCCACTGCTTCTGCGGATGCTGGGGCATTCTCGCCGCTGCTGTCTTCGATTGGGGCAACGGCTTCGACCACTTCCACGGCAACAGCGGCTTCCATTGCATGACCGACGGAGACGGCAATTGTGCCACTGGTCTGTTTGGCAAAGTGATCGGTGCCCAAATTGTCATGCTCCTGTGCATCATCGGTTGGTCGAGTTTGTTCTCTGGCGTCACCTTCCTCCTTCTCAAAAAGACCGGCACCCTGCGCATCGACGAGTACACAGAGGAGTCTGGAGTTGATGCCGCCAAGCATTGTCCGGCCAAGGCCTACGCAATCCCTGCTGTGGAGTACGTGAGCCCAGGGAAGAGTGTCACGCTGAGTGCATCATCTAGCCACTCAAGCACACGAGAGGCTTGCGCCATTCTCCCGGCCTCCGATTCATGGCATCCGCGAGGATGTTGGAGAACGTTTCCGAGTTGGCACGGCAATATGGGGAGGACGAGGCGGAGGGTGAGGAGGAGGTTGTTTTTGAAGCGACTGTGCTGGAAGGGGAGGAGGACACACACAGGAAATGGAGCAACACGGTTGGCAGGTAATGGGGAGGGCGAGGAGGAGGGAGGGGAGGGAGGTAGACACGGGGCATGGAGAGAAAGAAAGAGAGAGAGAGAGAGAGAGAGAGACACATGTGTCGTTACATGTCCGCTCCAGGGTATACTCCTGTCGATCGTTGCCACCCCTCTTCCACCTCTCCCAGATGCGCACCGCCGTGCGCACTGCACCGCTGGCGCAACCCTGTCTTGCGGGTACCCGTACATCCTGGTCGTTCGGCGTGTTGGTTTCGCACGGCCCACGAACCATGACAAGCGAATCGACTAGTCTCTACATAGCAACAGATACCGAGTAATGGAAGCAGGGGTGTTCGGAACACTGGACGGTTGGCCGTGCTTTGTCGAGCGTGGGTCCCAAACAAGTTCACGAGGATGTTCGACGTTTGCGCAGCAGGGAAAGTCAGGGCGGGCACCAGGGACACAATTTCTTCGAAATGCAAATCAATGTGGTCCCCTGGGTCGAAGAAAAGATCATGCGTATGGTCTCGGCGTGCGTGTGCCAAAACTCCCAAAACCCTCGACCGTATGGGAATCTTCTCGGAATCATTTTGGGGTCCTCCCTGGGCTCTCTTTAGGGCCTGTAGGGCCCTGAGGACCTTCTGCGGCTGCGCTGGGGGCAGTGGGCTCCTCTCTGGGCTTCGTAGGGGCTCTCCCACCTGGACCTTTCTTTGGGCCCTCATGGGGCCATTGAGACGTTCTTCGGCTTGTCCTAGAGCTACCGTGTGGTCGGGCGCATAGGATTGAAAACTGAACGCGCTTCGCTTGATAGACTGTTACGGTGGGGGCATTGGTTAAGGAATGCGCTCAGGATGCTGCAGGCCCTGGAGGGTTGCTTATCTGATGAGGGCGGCGGTGATATCCATGGCCAAGCCTCGATTGGAGTTCCACCGGCCTCCATACCCTGGATTTTTGATTTGAGAGTTTTTTATCCAATGCCCCCACCGTATGGTTCCAGGGGTACGTTCGTTAAGGGCTCCAAAGCTGACCTTGAAGCTACGTTTGAGCCACCGTGGGGCCAGCGTGGGGCCTTTGGGGGGGGGCCCCTCTGACAGGCCGTCGGAAGCCATCCTGGAATTCGGACGCGATGTTGTGCAGGCCATTTGGGACAGAGGGAGGTCTGCTTGGCCAGTGCCACTCCTAAAAGTGGGGGCCAGCGGAAAGCATCAAGCCCCGACAAGGACATCGCCACCATCGAAGCGTGACGAATCAAGATGATCGCGTGTGCGCCGGCGTGGCTGCGCGAATTGCAGTCTCCTGTTCACGCGCGCCAGCATGGCCAGATGCTTGTTGTCTGGATGTGGGATGGAGTCCCGCAGTTTCACGAATAAGATACTGATCATCCTTATCTGCCTTGGTGTCTTGGGGCAGCGATCGTCGCTCCAAAAAGTCCGTGGTAACGCAATGAAGGAATCAGATCTTAACGTCTTCGCGCGCGCCAGCAAAGGCGCGCGTGTGCCGAGCAAGGCGCTATTTTTCACGAATGGTACATTCATCGGAGTGCCAAAAATGGCGTTCTTCTTGCCGAACACTTTTCACCGCGTGCCCTTGTATTGAATTTCTTCATTACCCCAAGCACAGAGTCGCCGATTTGCGCGATTGCATTCTGATTTAAGGGCCTTGCCTGTGGTGACTTCATCTATGACACAGACATTGAATAAGGAAAAGTGCTGCCACTGGAGTCGCTGCTTCCTCTGTTCTCTTGCCCCCCCTCCCCCCCACTTGCGTCGCCTGACGGCACGCCTGCTTCCCTATCATCGGGTGCCTCCGCTTTTCGGGCGGAGGCTCTTTCACGCTTTTGGGCTCCCTGGACACCTCCCAGGCCCCAGGACCTTCAATTAAGTCGGGCCTGTCCCTCGACAGTGGGAATATTCAAAAATAGTCACAAAACAGTCTGGGTACGATTTGTTATACCACTTTGGAGTATGTTCAGTCAAAATCCGCCTGTGGGGAGACATGCCCGACCTGAACCTTCAAGTAACGACCCTGGATACAAAGTTGGCTCCATGGAAAGCCCTCGGGTCCCTGAGGCGATTTGATCGGGGCCTTCTGCGTCTTGCCCGGCTGGACGGGGACCCTGGGACCCTGGGACCAAAGCCCCCGTGCTGGCTAGAGGTGGAGCTGGAGCAGCAGGCGGAGGAGGGTGGGGACGAGGAGGAAGTTGAGGATGAATGATCAGGTTCGGGCGACTGGGCGGGGCGAAAAGGAGCTGGAACCAGAGGGGAGGGAGAGGAGCCCCTGAGGCATCGCCTTGGAGCGCGCCCCACTGCCCCGCGTGGCGCCCCGAACCGGTGGCGGCTGTGCGGCGCGACCCTCCCACCCAGCCTGCTCTGGCCCCGCTGGGCGGGAGGAAGCGGGGGGCGTTGAAATCTGCACCTGCACCAGCACAGAGGGGGCTGCCTCCACTGGGGGACGATGATTCTGGATCTCGGTGCTGGCGGTAACCTCTCGGCTCCCCAACGAGCTCGGGTATTACCACCACTGCCGAGATCAGGATCCTCTTCCCGTCGGTGGGGGCAAGCGCTGATACTGATGACAATGATGACGACGACGATGATGACAAGATGACAAGGTGATGACGACGATGACGACGACGACGACGCTGACGACAATGACGATAACAATTTCTGGTGCTGTGCTGCTGCGCGTGTCTGTGACGCCCTCCAGGCCTCCGAGGGAGTGCCGCGCTCGGGGTATCGGGCGCCCGGGGCCTTCGATATGTAGCATTTCGTGGGAGCCTTGTGTGTCCTCGCAGTTCGGTCTTCGGGATGCATTTGCGTGTGCTAGCCTTTGGTAGTCGATGAGGAAGCGCCGAGCTAGCGTCGATGAGCGCCGATTCAGCGCCGATTCAGCACCGATCAGCGTCGTTTCGTGTCGGCCAGCCTCGATTCGCAAGAGGCAGCATGACGGCCTCTGAGGCCCCCGCGGAGTTGCCGCAGGAGGGGCCACAACGCCAAGGGGCGGGCGGCGCTCGACCGCTCAGAGCCCCCGTGCGGGCAGCCTGGGCCCCGGAGGCCTGGCCAGAGGCGTCTTCTTGATTCTGGCAAGTTTGCTTGCATGGATGCAAGGGCTCCCTCGAGGGCGCGAAGTTATTCGCGCTTCGCGGTCCTCGTTCCTCCTCCCCCCTCCTCCTCGTCCTCCTATTCTCCCTTTGGGGGGGCGGCGCGAGGGCGCGAAGTTATTCGCGCTTCGCGCTTCGCGCAGCGCGAAGCGCGAAGTTGGGAGCCCTAGTTGCATGGATGGGGGTTGGGGATGGCGATGCCGGGCAAGACGTCTGACTGCAGCAGAAACCGGGGCTCGCCTGCACGTTTTCGCGTGCCCGCACGACTTGACCCGGCGGTGGAGTGGGCGGACCGAGTCGAAAGAGGATCCCGCCCGAGTCTGAGCCATAGTGTGAACTGAGTCCAAGAGCAGCTTGCCAGAGTCTAACCTGCCAGGAGTGTCCCTCCCTGAGCTCTGCGCCCCTCCAGGTCTCCCCCCCAGCCTCAGGAGGTCCCATCCCTGAGCTCTGCGCCCCGGTTTGGGTCCACCTGGAGCTCCAGAGTCCCCCCCCCCCTGGACCCAGACCGACGCGGGCGGACCCCGTTGGAGAGTCCGAGCGTGCCGACAGTGGCATTCTCAACCCTCCAGCGGCTGTTTGCCGCCACCCAAAGAACATCACAATTTTTCGCGGCTGTTAGCCGCCCCCCCTCAGCAGGACGCCTCAAGCCCTCCGTGCTCCCCCTGGGGCGCGCGGGCCTGCAGGTCCCGCTCTACGTCGGCTGTCCCGCGTCGGCCTCGGAGGACGGGCGGGGTGGACAGCTTCCGATACGTCGGTTCGGCCCGCGGCTGGCGCTTCTGGGTCCTTCCTGGGCATGCTCTTCGTTGGCGCGGGCCGTCGTTTGGTTCCTCTGGCCGCTGGTTCATGGTCGCGGTACTCTCTGCCCGTTCTTGGCGGGCTCACGCGGAATTTAGGCCACACGCTGGCTTCTTTCGCGGTGCATGTATTTGGAAGGCGACGTGCTCCTGGCGCTCCTGGGCTCGATCTCCCGCCTTTGAGCGTTGCATTAGTACCCTGCTCTCCTCTCTCTTCCTCGTCTGTCGTCGGTCGCCTTCCCTGCCGCCCCCGTTTCTTTTCCTCGCTTGCCAGCTGTAGTTTGGGCATTGCCTTGCTCCACGTAGGCTTGGCTTCTTTCGACTGTGGACGCCGCGCGGCTGCCCGCTTGCGGTTGCGAACGAAGAGGTAACCCCACCACTTTTCTTTGGGCGCCGCCCGACCTCTTTCGCCGCGGTCGCGATCAAATAAAGCAACCTTGCCAGCCCATCCAGAAACGATACCCTGAGGAATTGCGTTACATGGGGCCAGAACCTTAGTGCAACCACTGATTTGGGCTTCCTCGTCGAGGCCGTCGTGGACGCTCCAACTACCCGCGGAACCCCCCGTCCGGGTCCAGGGGAGGGGGTTGGGGGAGGGGTACACCCCGTCCCGAAGGGGAAGAAGGAGGGGCGTGGGGGAGGAAGCTCCTTGAACGACCTACACCCTGAAAAGGGCTGGTGGGATTTGCCAGACTCTGAAGGCAAGCCGCCTCGCGAAGGCCCCCGCGCGTCGCGCGGGCACGCGCGGGGTGCTGGGGGCCGCGCGCCAAGGCGCTCGGCCTCGGAGAGGCGCTCGTCCTCGGAGAGGCGCTCGGCCTCGGAGGCGTTTCTGCGGGCGCTCTTCGCACGGCCGTGGGCCCCCGCGGGGCCTGTCATCTTCGGGGCCCGTGGGGTGCAGAAGCAGCAGCCTTAACTCGGGCCCGTCCCCCTATAGGGGGAATGTGCAAAAATACAAAGCAAATAGTCGGGGGTTGATTTTTCTACCATGTCTGAATATTTGATTTTTCCCCAATCAAAGCTTGCCTCTGTAGGGGTCCTAGCGGATTCATATGGTTAGGTTCGGTTTGCCGCCGGTTTTCGCCGCACGCTCGGGTGCCCGGGGGTGCCCGGAGGTGCCCAAGGGTGCCCGGAGGTGCCCCTGGTTCCCCGGGGGTGCCCGGGTGCTTTACCGCCCTATAACCCTATAGCTCTACAGCCTTATATCCCTATACACCTATAGTCCGAATGGCCCAGTAGCCCTATAGCCCTATAACCCTGTAGTCATTATGCCCTATAGACCAATCGCCCTATAGTCCTATAGCCCTATAGCCCTAATGGGCCTATAGCCCTATAGCCTGATTGCCTTCTAGCCCTATAGCCCTATGCTCCTATAGCCCTATAGCCTTATAGTCCCATAGCCCTAGCCCTATGGTCCTATAGCCGTATAGCCCCATAGCCCATACAGCCCTAAAAATGTAATGATTGGGTTTTTTTTCCCTAGTACCGTAATATTTTCGGGGCATGTCCATTTTGTTGGCCAAAGTCCGCTTGTAGGGGACATGCCCGACCTAACAGAAGTCGGCGGCGCAAGCCGAACATTGGCTTCGCCGAGCAACAATAACCGGGCAACTCGATGGGCGGCGGGGGCAGGGTCTCGGAGTTCGGTGAGTACGCGGCGCGAAGTCCGGACACTGCCCCGCATCCCACCAAAAATAACGGAGAACCGATGGTCGGCATAGGGTTTGGGCGGCGCCGCCGAGAGAGTCGAGGAACAGAGCAAGACATAGTCATAAACTTTCGGCGGTCCGCGCGGATTCTTGGATCGGCGCTGGAGCCCACCTGACGGCGCCTCCGGCGCCGCCCCTGGCGCGCGTCGCGCGCCAGGGGGGGGGGGTCCAGCACCGATCCAAGACATCAGCGCGGACCACAGGAAGTTTATGATAAAGCCAAGTCGCGGTGTTCGAATGAGGCTAGAGGCTGGCCTCAAGGATGGAGTCGAGAGCGCTGTGGCGCCCGCGCCCGGAGACAACCATGGCGTGGGAGGTGTCGTGACGCGGCTTCGGCTTGCCCAGGGGCGACGGAAGTCGACGACTACGGCAACGACCACGGCGACGACTACGTCAAACCTGCGGCGGCGAGAGCACCAGTGGCGACGGCGACGGCGACGACGGCGGCGGCGGCGACAGCGGCGGCGGCTGTGGCGTCACCGACGGCGATTGTGGCGGCGGCAACGGCGACGACGCCGCAGCGGCGGCGGGGGGCAGGCGAAGCTGCCGGCGGCGCTGTGCCCCCGGTGCAGCAGGGCCGCGTCGCGCGGCGCGCTGCAGGTGGGGGGCCTCTTGCGCCATGGGCGTGGGGGGGCATCTCCTCCTCCACCCGATGTTTACGGGGAGGGGTTTCGGGTTCGATGTTAAGATTTTCGGACGTGTTCTTCTGTTCTCGGCGGCTTCCCAGCCTTACGATTTCTCCAGCAGCTGCGCCTCGCCGGGGGGCTTTCAGGGGTGCCCGAATCGTCCCGAACGGCTGCCGGAGAGCCGAGTTCAGGCCCGAAAGCTGCGTGACATTGGCCAAGCTACGTGGCATTGGCCATGCCTTGCGTGCAAACACAGATTCAGGCGCACGGATTAGCGACGGGTCCCCTTCCCATGCAGCAGTGACGCGCTCCCTCGCCAAATCAGACGGCGCCGGCTGCGTGTTTCGGGGGGGCGCATTCCCAGACCCGTGGATCTGGCGCTCTCGGGCCAGATCCTCGAAGCTCCAGTCCATGCTTGCATGGTGCTCTGCCACGTGGGTGAAGGGCGAGCAGCCAGCCCCCACTGCCCCCCCCGCCAGCTGGTGCAGCTCATGACGGCCGACCTGGCGGTGGAGCCAACGCGGAGGCCCCGCGGTCACCCGTGGGCTCGCTCGGCGGGGATCCGTGGGCCCCGCGCGCGCCAAAGCGCGCAGGTTTCTCTGTGATCTCCCCAGGGCGCGAAGGTTTTTTGACTACTTCAGGCAGCAGTTTTGTAGATCCCCTGGCGATGACGGGCGTGAGGGGCGTGGGGAGGAGGGAGGCGGCCGATCACGCCACGAGTCGCGCCGTCTGGGAATGCGCAGGACTGGCTGATTCTCAGACGGCGCTGGCGCAAATCGTGACGTTGCCAGGGGGGGGAGGCGGGGCTGGTTACAGGCGGCATCGCGAACAATCATGAGATAGAGAGTGCTCCGGGGACAACGGTAAGGGGGGATTGGCTCGGGGGAGGATGCATGAATCCCGAATCGCCCATTGATCGCCGATAGGGGCCTCATTGCCCACCCTGCCAAGGAACGTGCGCAGTCGCGACCGGGGGCCTAACGCCAATATGTCGGCGAGGTATCGCCGATTCGAGGCCGATGCTTCCCACTTCCACTCCCAACGTCTCCCTCACCACGGCGTCGCTTGGGAGCGAAATGAGTCTTACGTGTCCGGCAACGTTTGCTTGTAGCACGAGGCTGGCCTCGTGGACTGGGTGGCCATATTAATGGCACGTGGCTGGGCACCTACGTCTCCCGTGGGTTCTCAAGCGGACGAGGCCCAGGGGACCTGCGGCCTGCGAATGCAGGGCCCCCGGGGAGAAGTCTCTACCTCTTCCCGCTTCTCGTGCCGAATCGACCTTTTTGTTGCCGGCCCGAGGCGGGGCGCCAGAGGCCCAAATCTGCAAACCACGACCGCCAATAGTTTGCCCAACGCGTTGGAGGTCTCGTCTCGGCCCAGGGTGGAAAACGCGCACCCTTGCGGGCGAATGCCCCGAACGGCCTTTTGCGGTGGCGCGGGAGGGGGTCGCGATGGGGGTCCACGATGGGCCACAGATAGGCTGCTCAGGGAATCGCCCCCAGTCAGAGCCCCGAATCATCAGGGGTAACTCGGGTCAGGGCTAACTCGGGTTCGTTTTTCGGGAATCCGAACCCGACTTACCCCGGACCCGAGTTACCCCGGATAATTCGGGCGTCCAGAGCCCCGAATCATCAGGGGTACCTCGGGTCAGGGGTAACTCGGGTTCCTTTTTTCGGGAATCCAAGCCCGAGTTACCCCGGACCCGAGTTATCCCGGATAACTCGGGCGCCCAACCCAGGGCCAGCTCGGGGCCGAGGGTCCATGGGGGCTCGAGCCTCGTTCCCACACGCCGAGCCTCTCGTGCTCGTGGTGTGCGTTGCGAGGTGGCCCCTCGGAGGTCTGCGCCCCTTGTCCGGGCCCATGTCTTCATCTTTGGAGTCCTGGGGTCGTGGCGAGCCCCCCCCCCCCCAAGCAACCCGCGGAGTCCGAGATTCGTGTATCTTTTCTGTTATTTTCTCGGACGGCGTGATGGGGGTCTGGAATCCTCGCTTCTTTCCGAAGGTTTGCCTCTTTTTTGGTCTCTCTCTCTCTCTCTCTCTCTCCCTCTCCCTCTCCCTCTGTCTCTCCTTTTTTGTTTTTTTTTTTTTTCTCTCTCTCTCTCTCTCTCTCTCTCTATGTATATATATATATAATGTTCAGAGTAAGGGGGCCGAACGGTCATTCGTTGTCCCTGGGTGCGTGGCTGAAGTGGGGATCCGTGGTGAGGATTCTGCTTGTTGCGTTATTCCGTTGTTGCGTTGTTGTTGTTTGCTGTCGTCGTCCCAACCAGGACCCACCCGCGACCCACTCCGCGACCCACCCCGCGACCCACCCCGCGATCCACCCCGCGACCCACCCCGTGACCCACCCCGTGACCCACCCGCGACCCAACCCGCGACCCACCCCGCGACCCACCCCGCGACCCACCCCGCGACCCACCCCGCAACCCACCCCGCGACCCACCCAACGACCCACCCCGCGACCCACCCCGCAACCACCCGCGACTCATCCGCGACCCACCACCCCGCGACCCACACCCCGTGACTCATCCGCGACCCACCCGCGACCCACCCCGCGACCACCCGCGACCCACCCGCGACCCACCCGCGACTCACCCCGCGATTCATTAGCGACTCGTTCGCGACCCGTTGGCGACCCACTTGCGACCCACCCGCGACCCACCCGCGACCCACCCCGCGACCCACCCGCGACCCACCCGTGACCCACCCGCGACCCAGCCTGGACCCATTTGCGACCCATCCGCGACCCACCTGCGACCTATCCACATTGGTTAACGAAATAATCGGCGCCTGCGGCGGGCTCGTTCAATAATAAGTGAAACTTTGGCGCCTGCGGCGGGCTTCTCCAGAGTCTCGCAGACTGCCGACGTCCCCACGGCACCCTCACTCTTATCCGCATTTGCGGGGTGCTACGCATGCATATATACACGCACACATACACACTCACATCTATAAGTACAAGACTGCAGTGGCGCTTCGCGCCATGCACCTTGGTCCTTGAAGTTTGGTATGCCGGCGAAATAGCAGGAAGGTCAAGCCGACAATTTAGCGATAAATCCTTGTTGCCTTTTCCGGCATCGCCGCTGTAATAATGTTATTCGTTATCTTTTCTCCATGCTTCTGTTTTCTTATTTTCGCCATACCCTGCGCACACTCCCCATCCTCCTCAGCTCTTTTTTGCGGAGGCTCCTCCTTGGAGCGCCTCTGGGGGCCTCACAAAAGTAGTTTCAGGCTTTCTTACGGCCTTATGGAGGCCTCTTGGGCGTATTCTGGGGGCCTCCGGGGGCTTCCTCGGGACACCCTGCCTCCAACCGCGGTCTCCCTGAACGACCGGGTCACGATTCGGAATGCTTCGGAGGGTGTCTTTGGGCCATCTTGGGCCGCCATGGGGCTCTCTCAGGGCCATCTTGGACCCTTGTTGTGCAGTTTTGGGGCTCTCTTGGACTGCCTGGAAGTCCTTTCGGATGGTTGTGGGGCGATTTTGGAGCCCCCCAGGCGGCTTCGAACGCCCAGAAGACAGTCGTCTTGGAACGTTGGGAAGCCGAATAGAGGAGAACCGCAGACTTCACCAAAAACCGACACAAAATCAATGATTTTTGCCTCGGGGGGCCTTCTTGGGAGTGCTCTTGGAGGCCTCTTTGGGGCCGTCCTGGAGGCCTCTTGGGCCATCTTGAGGTCACGTCGGTCACTCTTGGAACGCTCTTGTGCTGTCTTGGTGTCTTGGGGGTCTCTGGGACGTCTCCGATGACCCCCCTGATCGCCCTAGGTGTGCTGGGAAGGCTTGGCAAAACGCCCTGCGAGACCCGGGGGCCGCTTCGAGGCCCGTCTGGAGGTTCCCAAAGCCCCAAATCCCAGGAGTCCGTTTTTTTTTTTGGGGGGGGGGGACGGGTTTTCCCCCCGCCCGGGCTTGTAAACATAGGAAGAGGAATATGCATGCATGTATGTATGTATGTATGTATGTATGTATGTATGTATGTATATATACATGTATATGTATATGTAGATGTATATATATATATGTGTATATATGTATATATATATATATATATATCTTTCGTGCGTGCAAGCGCGAGCGGCCTCTTTCTTCGGTCCTCGAGCCCCGATTTCTCGAGCCTCTGTCCGCGAGCCGCGATTAGGACTGTTCGCGATGTCCCGCCCACTCGCACTTGGAGCGGCAATTCACCAGCGCTCGTCGTGGGCGGAGCACATGCGGTCGGGGCGTTGAATGAGGCCCACTTGCGTTTCGAAATGGTCTCGGCCGGTCGTTTGGTTTGCATGCGTTCCGCTTTTTTTGGGGGGTGGCGAGCCCCCTTAGCGTCCCTTCAGACTTCATGGACGTAGTTGGGAAAAAGGATTTCGTTCCATTCAGAAGGGGAAGCATACACAAACAGACACAGGTAATCGTCGATTCCCAGGGGACTATGGGAAAACATGGGAAGTGTGGGGGGGGGGACGGGGGAAGACGAACACCAAGAAGATGTGGGAACATATCGGGGATCCCTGAACTTGTGTGCGTACGTTTGCGTGTCCTTGGGGCCCCTTTTGTGTGTCGAGCCTTCTGGTCAGCGTCCCGACGGCATCCGCGCGGGGGTCCGCGGCCCCGTGGCCACGGGGCGTGTTCTTGCGGGACGACGACGACGACGACGACGACGACGACGACGACGACGACGACGACGACGACGACGACGACGACGCGTGTTCCCGCAGGTGCCCGCACGCGGGACGCGTCCGTGCGACCGCGCAGCCACGGGGTCGCGCCCCGAAGAAAACCCGACCGCGAGGGCGTGGCCGTAGATCTAAGTTGGGCGCGTCCTGGGAGGAGGAGGAGGAGGAGGAGGAGGAGGAGGAGGAGGAGTGATATTCACAAATAGTCCAAAAATAGTCTGGGGACGATGCTTTGACTGGTTGTGAACATGTTTCGACCATTTTGATTGTTCGTCGGGGACGTGCCCGACACAACCATGCATACGCTCGCCGTTCGTGAGATTGTCTGCTGTTCCCCCAGGCCTCCTGGAGTCCGAGCAGATGGGGTCGGCGGATCGCGCCGCATCGCTGATGCATACACGATGCGGCTCGATGTGGAGCCCCATTTTTCCCACGCCGACGTCGCGGATGCGGCGCGATCCTTCGACCCAAGCTACTCAGGCTCCATCTAGGATGCCTCTAGTTCCAGACCCCCGAGGTGGAGCCCCCGAGGTAAATCCCCGAGGTGGACCACCAGAGCTCGTGATCTTCTCTCGACGTGAACCCCCAGAGGTCTGGACCCCGTCCCAGGGACCGGCTTTCCATCCTGAGGTGCTCGTTAACAGTCCCGAGGCCCGGCAAGGGCCCCCCGAGGCCGAACATCGAGAGCAACCTTCCGTGGTGGTTTTGTTCCATGACTCGAGGTGGTCTTGCGTCGTCTCTCGCCTCGTGCCTACTGGCCTTCCAAGGGGGCTACTCGTGCGCGCGCGATCTGCCCGCGCTCAGAGGCTGCGCGACCTCCTGGCCCAGCAGGCGGCGGCGGAGGCGCGGGCGGGGCGGCGCCCAGCAACTAGGCGGACGGCCGCCTCATCGTGATCGCTGCGGTGGTGCCCTGGATCGATCGAGGTGCGATCTAATTCTGCGCCGCTTTTGGGCTCTGGGGTCCCGCTTCGGGCCTGGTAGCCGTCGGGATCCGATCCAGCGAGGGAAACAAAAACGCCAGGGTGTGGAGCGGCTTTCGGTCGCCGCCGCCGCCGACGCCACCGTCGTCGTCGCTTCTCCTCCAGTTCCGCCTCCAGCTCCGTTTCCTCCTTTCCATCCTTGTTCTCCTTCTCCTCCTTCTCCTCCTCCTTTTCCTCTTCCTCCTCCTCCTCCTCTTCCTCCTCCTTCTCCTCCACCTCCTCCTCTTTTCCCTCTCCCCCTCCCCCGCCTCCAATCCCCTCCTCCCCGTCCCTCCTTGATCCGAGCAGTGCCGACAACACTGGGGGAAGGCAGCAGCAGCAGCAGCAGCAGCAGCAGCAGCAGCAGCAGCAGCAGCAGCCAGTCGTTATCTCCGTGTCCGCTGCTGCGAGAGTGCGCTGCTTCCAGCGCCAGGAGACGAACAGGCCCCAGCCCGCTGCGATGGTCCCCCCCGTCCCTCCCCCTCTCCTGACCCCTCCCCCCGCTGCACCCCCCGCCTCCTCCGATCTTCCCTCTCCCCGCCCCCGATCTGCGGCCCCAGCGTCCGACCCGTTCTCCGATCGGGTGACCGCGCCGGGGCCCCCGGCGCGCGTGGCCGCCGTGGCCTGCTGCCGAGCAGCTGGCAGCCCGAGTCGCCCCCCCAAGCGGTGCGGTGATCGCACAGCGTGGTGAGCCAGCACAGTCAACACCTGATAGTATAGTAAGGACGAGCGGCTTTCCAAGGTGTGTGCCGTGCATCGCTTCCATGCGGCCCATCCTCGGCCACTCTCGCGGGCCGCGCCCCGCTCAAACGGTGTCGGCACGGCCTCCAAGGCCCTTGCATCCTCATCGCGCATCCCTGCTATCAGTTTTGACTGTAGGGATTGGGGGTGACCTCACGGTTTTGGGGCTTAGGTCGTTCTCCAGGGATTTCCGTATGCATGCCGGCGCGGGGTCTGCACGAATGTTCTGCATCTCCTTTCGCAGTGTCGCATGCCCTCGAGCAAGGAATAAGGGCCGCCGGTGTGAAGCAGCACTTCGATATCGGGGCCCCAGAGAACAGGGACCATGCAAAGGCTGGATCTAGAGCTATATCGCCTTCAGACCCCATGGGCGACAGTAGTCGGGACGGCTGGGAGGCAGCAGCAGCAGGAGAAGAAGGACGAGGAGGAGGAGGTCACGGAGAGAGGAGAGGCTTGGCCAAGGATAACAGGGAAGTCATCCAGTTTGCGAGGGAGTAAGCGATTTCTGCGAAGCAGTATACGATGCAGACTCATATCAGAAGCACCACGCCTTTGCAAGTTCAGAGAGAGCATCATCACCCAACTGGATGCCCATAACATCGTACTGGAAACCATGTCGTCGTGCGGGTAACGGACATATACGGACTGCCCACCCTCAAAACGGAATGTGGCGGTGATAGGCGGCATGTCGGTGGCGGATGGGCTCGAGGAGGCGGCGGACTGGACTGCGCACAGTTTCGAGAGGGCTGGTCTCATGCGCTCTGGCGAAATGTTCCTGGCCGGAGAGCAGCGTTTGAGGGTACCTCCTGGGTCGAGCACGGGTCTGGCCTGAAGTCGGGCCTTTCCCTCCACAGGGGGAATTATCCCGGCAAAGCAACCTAACAGCGATGTGTAGAAGCATATCTGGAAGCATTGCCTCAGCCTCAGCCTCAGCCTGCCTCAGCCTCAGCCTCAGCCTCAGCCTCAGCCTCAGCGGTGGATTCCCCATAGTCACTGGCGGCGCTGGGGGCCGCAGCATCAGCCTCAGTGGTGGATTCACCATAGTCACTGGCGGCGCTGGGGGCCTCAGCCTGAGCCTCAGTGGTGCGTTCCCCATAGTCACTGGCGGCGCTGGGGGCCTCAGCCTCAGCCTCAGTGGTGCATTCCCCGTAGTCACTGGCGGCGCTGGGGGCCTCAGCCTCAGCCTCAGTGGTGCGTTCCCCATAGTCAGTGGCGGATCCGCGGATTCTCCCCGGATCCTGCCCGAACCCCCTAGGGAGTCATGATGCTCTCTTTTGAGACCACTAGAAACCTATCAGTCTTCGCTGTTAGGTTATATTCAAAAATAGTCAAAAGATAATATGGGGACGACTTTGACCATGTTCGAGTCCTTTGTTGAATATTCTTGGAATGTGTTATATTTTTCGTCCAAGGTCTGCCTGTAGGGGGACATGCCCGACTTAAGTCTGGCCGTGGTGCGCATCAGGAACCGAAGCCGTGGGTCTGGCCGTGGTGCGCGTCAGGCAGTGGTGGCCGTGGAGCCGCGCCTTAAGTACAAGAGGAAACCAGTCTGGAGCAGACAGTGGCGACCTGTACGCGAACGTGCACATCTAGGCTTCCCCCCTCTTCGGCTTCAGATGGGTGCTGGCAGTCAAGGTCGACGGGACCTCTTGCTCGATGATAGTGGCTGGCGAGTCCATTCTCAGCGTCGGCGTCGAGAACGACAGGTTGAAGGTGGAAGTGAGTTGCCAAGGCCTGGGAGCAGGGGAAGGACCTGACGCAGGCTCCCCAGCTCAAGGAGCTGGCCGCGACGGCCGATGACAAGCTTACGCCCGCGAAGATCCAAAACTCCAACGGCAAGGGGCAGGGTACGCCTGGCTCTGGCCAGTGACGGCGCCCTGGGTGTGTCGGCGCAGGTTCGTTTCACAATGTGACCATTGTGAAGGCGATGGCGCGGAACGCGCTCGCGAAGGACCGCCTTGCAGAAGCTGACGGCATTTCAATGCCTGCACGTCGATCTTTCGGGGATGCACTCGACATGTTATAAAAACGACTCTACGTGCATGCGTGGGACTTGCACAGTGGTTTCATTCAGTTTGTTGACAAATATTCGTTGTTTCATAATCTTGCCGCGTGGGGGCTCTGCGCGCGCTGGCGTGGAAATTGGTAGCACCATTGGCGAGATCATGCGCGAACGGCTTAGCGATCTGAGGCGACTTCAATGCCCTTCTGGTCGAGGCCAAACCGGGCAAAGAGGATGTCATATTGGGTGTTGAATGGGGTCGGGAAGCAATCCAACAAGCGGGATTGCCGTACAGAGGCTGGTCGCTGCAGTGTTGACTTGTCCGCTCGCTGCCGGTGGCCAACACGCCTGTGGCTCACGGGATCCACTTGGGAAGGCGACCTGCGCGGAGCCGGGCGCGCCCCACGGGGCCCCCGCACCCCAGTCCATTAGCATTGTGTTGGAGCTTGCTTTAGCTGAGGCGCGCTGGGGCGGCGGTGGCGCGCGCTCCGCCGGCTGGGGCGCGCTGAGGCGGCGGCGCTGTCCCGGCCTCGCCCGTTTTGCTTTGCTGCTGGTTTTGCTGCTGTTTTTCTGCCCCGCTTCCCTCTCCCCTTTTGCTCTCTTCCTTCCCTTTGTAGCCACAGGGCGATTTTTCTCGGCTGGTAAAGCGGATTGGATCTCGCTTTAGCTGACGCCGTAAACAGTGAAGCTGTTCGAGACATCCAGAGCCGGCGGGGCGCGAGCCTGCAGACCAACGGTTTATAATTTATGATCTGTCGGTGTCTGTCTCGGATCCCCGACGCTGCTTCCGCGCGCCGCGCACGGACAGGCATGAATAGAAACGGCCTTTGCGGCGAAACAGTCGCTAACGCTGTCACGACTGAAGAGAGGACGCCAGCCGCCGACGATTGGGTAGACGTAGACTGGGCAGGGCTTGTCGACGGCTTCCAAGCGTGCGGGTCGATCATGCCAGACAATCTCAACAGTTCGAGAAGGTATTGGATACAACAGGGAGGGCATGCTCGATCAGTAAAAAAAATTGGCGCAGCGACCTGCGCGCGCAACGGCGCAGTCGAACAACGCAGGCCGCGCGAACTTGCTCCTCAGGCCGCCAAGAAGGACACAGCAGTATGGTTGAAGGGCGTCATACTAGGAGGGGCTGTTAAACACCTAGAGGTGATCAGAGGCCCAGGAACACGATGGCACCATGAATCGCGACCTTGGCAGAGGACCTCACAGAACGATGGCAGAGTACCTTTTGTAGGGTGAGGCCTGCGGACGCGGTCGACGGGAAACTATCTTCGATGGTAGCGGATGTGTGGCCGTTGCTACCGAGTTGACGAGCTTGCGTTGGGGGCGGCGCGAGATGCCGAAGTCGCGGCACAAAAGGGTGCCGCAGGCTTACCCGTCAACTACAGGCCGATCAGCCTGATTTCGCTGTAATTGCGAGATCTTTGCGTCGCTTGTTTTTGGAGAGGCTCGTCGGGTCCAGTCGGGCGTGCCTCTCTACAGGACGAATATCCAAAAATGGTATAAAACATCGGGGGACGATGTTTCGACTATTTTTGAATCTGGTAAAACATATGTTTTGGGTATTCTTTATTTTTCGTCAGAAATCCGCCTGCAGGGGGGCACGCCCGACCTAATCGTGAGGGCAGGTGCAGACGGCAGGTCCAGCGATCAGTTCGGTTGTCGAGGCGGAGCGAGCACGCTGGACGCAACGTGTATTCTGCGAAGACGAATCGAGCAGGCGCGGGCGTCGAGATGTAGGAGTCTGCACGTGTTGGCTTTTGGATGGAAACAGCTGTCGACTCAAAAAACATTTCTGCAATGGTCGCCGCCCAACCGAGATTCGGCCCTCCAAGGCTCGTACTGGATGTTATTCGAAGCATATGAAAAAACCACACCGTCGTATTTCGCGGAGGAGCTCCCATGTCTGAGATGGAGGGTCGAAAGGGTTTGAACGGTTCGGCATCTCACAGGGTTACATGATGTTGCCGCTGCCCTTCGTCTTGGTCATGCCTGTTGTGGCGCACGACTCCGAACCAGTCCTGCTAGTGCGGAACGGCCAATTCAGACAGCTTGTGCGCGCCGGCAACAATCCGCTCATGGCCAGGGCCGCCAGCGACCAGAGGCATCGGTTTAAAGTGGTACATATTCAAATCTGCAACAGAGGATCTGGAGGTGCAGTCGGGGACAAGCGGGAATTTCTGAATCACTCGTACGGGCGCGCGCGTACGCCGACAGGTGAAGTCACCGAGGCCCCAGACAGATTGTTTTACTGGGGCACCACAATCAGCAGCGATGGCCGGTCACATTCAGGGATAACGAGGCGAAGCGGCATGGCTTCCACTGCTTTCAGAGAGCTGATGCACGCGTGGGGCCACACCTCGATATCTTCGGACTGAAGAGTGAGGCCGTTCAATGCCGTCGTGGTGCCCCAGATGCCGCACAGCCTCAGCACCGTTTGGCGGTGCCTCCCTGGTGTGGGTCCGCGCGCAGCGAGGCAGCATACTCAGGGACACTGGGATATCATGTGGGCTTGGCTGCCGCGGTATGCGTGGCTGGCGAGAAGGGATAATCAGGGATCGTCCGGGAGTCCTTGGGCCTGGTGGCCGCAGTACGCAAGGCTTGCGATGCGGGATGCTCGGGGATGACCCAGAGTCTTTTGAGTCCAGCGGCCGCGTTACGCAGGCTGGCGGGCGGGTGTTATGTCGATGCGGTGGCACAATTTGTCGAGTGGGCAATATTTCCAACCGTGCTTCTTCCTCGACGCGAGGGGTCTGGGGGTGGGGTCAAAGAATCACCCCCGTGGACCTGTCTAGGGGCGCGTTCTGACCACGATTCCGAGCGGGATCCGACCGTGGCGACGAGAGGCTTTTAGGAGCCACAGCACCACCCCAGGAGACAGCTTCATCTCCTGGCGATAACGGGCGTGACCGGGGGGGAAAGCGGTCTGGACACGTCATGGTTTGCGCTCACGCCGTCTGAGATCCCTTGACAGCGCTGGGGGGTCGGGGCGGGGCTTGTCACGGGCACGATCGCGAGTTATATATATATATATACATACGTACAAATATACATACATCTATACATATATACATATACATATACACAGGGTACCAGGCCCTCGTTCCTCGAGCCCTCGATCCCCGAGGTTCGCTCGCGCCTTCCTGCCTGCCGCCCCTCTTCCGCCGCGCCGCGCCGGGGCCGGAACGAGGCGGTGGAGCGTGCTCTCCGCACCGAGGGCGCTCGTGGCGAGGCGCTGCCCTGCAGCATTGAGGGTGGGGGCCGCGGCTGGCGCGCAGGGGGCCACGGGCGCGCGGGAGAGCTGCAGTCAGCCCGCATTTTGTTTAGGATGGGCAGCCTCCCCAAGGGTATCCCTGGCATCCTTGCCCCTTCGGTTCATCCTTAGCGATTCTCGTTGGCCAACCTTTTTATATATATATATATATATATATATATATCAACGTGCCCCCCCCCAGGCCCTTGCATCCTTACCCCGCATCCTTATGATACGGTATGAGTGTATCGCCGGTACTATCGATATGGGGGCGCTAGGATGCCGCTCCTGGGAGGTACAATTCCTAGTCGCCCCTGGTATTTCCCTGGTCGCAGGCTGACCAGATCTGGCTTCATCCCGATGTGGTTTGGTTTGGTCCCCAGTCTGGCCTTATCCCGGGTGCTTTCCGGCCTAAATCTGGCTTGATAGGTTTGAGTCTCTTTGCACCGTGGGGAAGACCACCCAGGTGTTGCCCGCTGATGTGCGGAAAGATTGGGGACGTAGACTGACAGCAGTTCCTGTCCATTTTGAACAGGGCGCGCTGTCGGTGCCGCCCGGGCGTTGTCCACTTGAGGCAGCGGGCCGCCTGCCCAAGAGCGGCCGCTGTCGGCCGCTATTTGGGCCGAACGTATCGATTTTTGTCCGTACCCACCTCGGGCGTCCAAATATCGGATGGCCCAAATGAGGGAGGCCCCGAGGTTCGTCCCAGCCCTTAGATCCTCGCGTCGCAGTTTTGTCGAGTCGGGCGTTCTCGCTTGACTTCGGGCCTTGAGAACCTCACAGATGGACCCTGCTCGAAAAATATATCATAAAGGTGGGGTCCAGGTCTTTTTGTTGCTATTTGTCGCAACATTGCGTTTTTCTTCGCGTCATCGGATCTAGGTGACGTTCAGGGGCGTTCCGAGGCGGGACCCAAGGGGGGGCGGGCCTGTCGCGCGGCACCTGAGGTCCCGACCCCTTCCAGAGGGCCAGATTTCTTTTGCGCGCCCCGGAAACGGGGCCCCTTCAGGGGCAACGATAGGGGGGAGTAGGCATAGGGGGTATGCATCGACCCCCAATCGCCCATTGATCGCCGATAGGGGTCTGATGACCCCAACCCGCCCAGGAAGGTGCGGACTCCTTATCGGGGGCCGATCGCCGATCTGTCGGCGATGTATCGCTTATCCCAGGTCGATGCATCCCCCCCTATGCCAGTCACCCCCCAATCCCAGACCCCCGACGTCATGATATTTGCAATGCGTCGGCCCCTGGAGGTCTCGACCCATTCCCCTGGACCGGTTGTTCATCCTCGCTCGTTTTTTGACGGTTTCGAGGGCCGGTAAGGGCCCCCAGAGGCCGAACATAGCGAAAAATTGTACGTCATGATTTCTTTATTGCCCGAGGGGAAACAAGAGGAGTTGGGGAGGATTTTGGAATTGGGGAGGATTCTACAAAAGGAAAAAGGATGAGTTTGGGAGGATTTGGGAATTGGGGAGGATTCTACAAAAGGAAAAAGGAGGAGTTGGGGAGGATTTGGGAATTGATGAGGATTCTACAAAGGAAGAGGCTTCCACTCGACTAAATTACGACGTTGTGTACTTTCGCAGTGGATCCGTGAGTGGATCAATCTAGATTGATGAGGCTATGATGCCTCTTTTGATTTTGAGCCGGCTATGATGCCCGCTCGTGCCCACCCCGTCCCGTCTTCAGGGACTTCGCACCCCCCTATGATGGTAGGATGGGAAGACGGGCCGCCGCCCCTGGCACTGCACGTACGGTGCCAGGTTTGTGGGGATTTGGGATCGCTGCCCCCTCCAGCCCCAGGGGCCGACCTCGGAGTCGGCACGCGCCGTCGGACGTCCGGGGGCCACGCGCGCCGCGGTGGACCCCCGGGGTGCACGGGTTTCCCCCGGGGCCGCAAGCGACCCGAGGAGGAAAAAGAGGAGGAGGAGAAAGAGGAGGAGGAGGAGGAGGAGGAGGAGGAGGAGGAGGAGGAGGAGGAGGAGGAGGAGGAGGAGGAGGAGGAGGCGGAGAGGGTGGTGGTGGAGGAGGAGGAGGAGGAGGAGGAAGACGGGTCGCCCAAGCCCTTCGGAGAAACCCTCCACCCCGGGGCACGCCCCGAGGTGTTTCCCCGTGTCGGGCGCCTGGGACGCCGCGCGCGAGCACGACGGGCTGGCCCCGGTGAGCGCTCGCAGCGGCGAGGACCCCCTTCTGCGTCCCCCCGGCGCCCTCCCCTCCCTCTCCTCCTTGCTTCCCAGCCCCTCCCTCCCTCCACCCCTCCCCCTCCCTCCCTCCCTCCCTCCCCCGCCCCTCCCCTCCCTCCCCTCCCTCCTCCCCCTCCCTCCCCCCCTTCCCTCCCTCCCCCCCCCCCCTCCCTCCCTCCCCTCTCCTCCACCCACCCCCCTCCATCCATCCCTCCCTCCACAATTACTCAATATGAATACTACTCTCCTCCTTCCCCTGATGACGGGTTGGGAGTGTTCGCCCCCCCCCCCCCCCCCCCCCCCCCGCGTATTGTTTTGTTCACACAGGATTCCCCGGTGTTGGGTTTTCGCGTGCATTTTTTTCAAAATGCTGCCCTCGCTGAGGCGCCGGCCTCATTTTCGGGCCCCGCTCGTTCCGAATCGTGCTCCCGCTGCAGCGCTGGCCTCATTTCCGCGCTTCCGCTCGTTCCGACTCGTGCTCCCGCTGCAGCGTTGGCCTCATTTCCGCGCTTCCGCTCGTTCCGACTCGTGCTCCCGCTGCCGCGCTGGCGTCATTTCCCGTGCCATGCCACGGCATGCAATGCAATGGTAGGTTGCGTTCCGCTGCGCGATGCCATGCCTTCAGCTGAAGCTGTGATATGCAGTGCTTAAGTGCTACGTCGTGCTATGCCATGCTACCCTTTCATCTTCAACGCCATCCTATGCAATGTTATGTTCGGGGCCGCTGTGCGATGCCATGCTTTGCGTTGCAAAGCTTTGTGATGCAATTCTTCACTACGCTACGCCACGCCATGCTGTGACATACTACGCCTTGCGGTGCTCTTCTACGCCATGCCACGCCGTGCACTACAATGCATCGCGTACCCGTTCGGGATCATTGCCCTGCTCGACATCCGACTGTGCGAGTAGAGAGGGGATCTACGCCATGGTAAGGGATGGGAGGGAGGAGTAGGATGTCAGATATGACGCGAGCGCACCTAGCTTGCCTCTCCTCCCCTCCCTCCCCTCCCCTCCCTGCCTCCCTCCCTCCCTTTCCTCCCTCCCGCCTGCCAGGTGTCCGGGCCAGATTCGGGCGCGCCCCCGACGGCGCGGTGACCACACCGTGTGGTGAGTCGGTGGAGCTTCGGGGTGGCCGCGCGCGGTTTTGGAGCTTGGTTCCCTCTCCGAGGAGGCCCCGGGCGGCGGAGGCCTTCGCGAGGTCCTAAGACGGTCTGGTGAAGGACCGTGCGGCGAGGTCTTTGGGGATCCCCTTCTTAAGAACCTCTCGAAAACCTTCCTCGGGACAGTTTGTTGGGAGAGCCTTCTTAAAAACCTTCCGAACGCCTTCCTCAGGATTGTTTTTGGAAGCGCCTTCCTAAAAGCCTTCCGAAAACCTTCCTCCGGAGGGTTCTGCTTGGAAGAACCTTCATAACATACATTCCTAAAACCTTCCTCAGGGGGGTTATGTTTGGAAGAACCTCCCTGGAAACCGTCCGAAGACCTTCCTAAACCTTCCTCAGGAGGGCTTTGTTTGGAAACACCTTTCTAACAACCTTCCTAAAACCTTCCTCAGAGGCCACCGCCGCACCGATTTGGGACCCACGGCTCCCGGGCCCCCTGCAGGGCCAGATACCTCCGGAGCTCTGCAGCCTTCGATTCCCAGGCGCTCTTCTCTTCGGCTTCCGGCCGCCCGCCGCGGGTGCTCGTCCTCTCGGGTTCTCGCGCGGCTCCTGGAAAATAACGCTGAACCGGGCCGAGCACGAAAACGCGCGGGGAAGTGGTCGGGACTTCCCCGGGGCCGCGCGCTAGAGCAACAGATCGCACCGTACCGTCAGATGCGATGTCCGCGTGGCGCGGGTCTCTGGCGAAGCTCGCGCCGTCCTGTGGTGTCTCCGCTTGGCAGGTTCTTAGCACAAGGTTTGTTTCGCTGTTGTTTCTTATTTTTTGACTTCAGCAGGTTGTTCAGCTCAAGCGTTTGAGCACAATGTTTTGGTTGCTTGTTACGTGTGTTGTTGTTGCTGTTGTTGTTGTTGTTGTTGGTGGTGGTGGTGTTGTTGTTGTTGCTGCTGTTTTTCTTGATCGAGCGCCGGCAGGTTTTGTAGCACAAGGGTCGGGAGCAGCATGAGGGAGCCTGGCGGCGCAGTGTTTGTCGCAACAATTCGCACACATACTCCTACTTCGCTGGCTCGGTGGTATCGCCACTGCCAGGGACACGGCACGATGATCTCGCGGCCGCAGGGACTGCACGCGAATGCGCTGAGACCTGAGCCTCTGACCCGCACAACCTGTGTGTGCACATGGCCCCCGGTGCCCGAGGCTGCCTGCGCGCTCCCGCTTCCGTCGACTCTCGGCGGCTGTCTCCGCGGCCGCCCTCCGCTTCTCCACCCCGAGAAGACAGAGGAGCGCTGAGAGCGTTGACCTGTCAGGCCGTGCGGCCGCTGAGTAGAGCTGTGGCGCATGGCTACCAGGTAGAAGGCGAGTGCTATCAGTGTGTGCAAGTTGGCGACGCCATCGTGCGCAGGCTTTGGTTCTGCCCTGAGTGCTAGGAAGAGCGTGCTGAGATCGTTGGCGCGAGGCTCCTGGCCAGGATCCGCGAGGAGCTCTCCGCCGACCCCAGCCCTGCTTTCACAAGGGCTCCCACGAGGGCGCGAAGTTATTCGCGCTTCGCGCTTCGCGGTCCTCGTTCCTTCTCCCCCTCCTCCTCGTCCTCCTTTTCTCCCTTTGGGAGGGCGGCGCGAGAGCGCGAAGTTATTCGCGCTTCGCGCTTCGCGCAGCGCGAAGCGCGAAGTTGGGAGCCCTTGTGTGTGCGAACGGGCCTCATCCCGCATCCGTACCGGTGGGCCCCCAGGTCCGATGAGTCAAGCCCAGGCTCTGCAGAGCGTGGTTTCCCACGTTTTTTTCCGAGGCTCACCAGGCCGAGGGTTTCGCTTCCGAAGGGGCGAGGGAGTTTATGGGAGACATTTGCCTGGACGGCTCTTGCATGAGATCCTCGATCAAGGACATGTCCCGATCTGGTTGGGGTGTGGTGAGTCTCTGCCCTACGGGTCAGATGCTTGCTCGAATGTGCGGCGCCCTTGGCAGTTTTTACCCGCAAACCAGTGTCGCTGCGGAGTTTGCTGCGCCCACCAGTGCATCTAGTCTGCTCACTGTCGCCTTTTTTCAGTGATTGTGCTGCTTTCTTGAACCAGCATAAGAGGAGCCTGGCCGATTTTCTTTTTCGTACCAGACCCTACAGTGGGCTGGTCATGCAGTGCTACGCATTTGCGAATAACAACATCCGCGTAGTGGTCAAGGTCAAGGCGCACAAGACCCACGACCCTGACCTGCCACCACTCGAGCGCAGACAGATCATCGGGAATAGTGCGCCGACGAGGCGGCCAAAGCTGGAGCCCGCTTGCACGCTGATCTGGAGGAAGCTGACCGTACAAATTTGAATTACGCGATTCGGACGGCAAAGGCCGTCTTCAAATTAATCGCGAAGATTTTGGAACGCTGGCCGAGGACTAATCTCGATGGGGTCGCGAGAGATGCGTGTGCCGCTCGCGCTCCCAAGCCTGCTGCTCCACCACACGAGTGGGCACGGATTGGTCGCTTCTGGCCATGCCCCAATTGCTTGAGAGATTCGCGTAGCAACCAGAAGCCCCCCCCTGGAGTTTGCACCCGCCAGCTCCGGATCGACCCCGCTCACATGCGGGAGCCCGGTCACCGCTGCACCGTGGTTGATTTTGATGACCAGAGCTTCGCCTGTGTGTGTGTGCGTGTCAGAATTGTACCGCTTTCTCGACTGGAGGTCGGATGCGTAGGCTCGCAAAGCGCTGTCTCGATCGGCTGCCAGACCGCAGCGAAGTTTGGTCGAGGTTGGACAGAGGGCTCCACCCTGGTCACAAGAGAAGGGGCGTCAAAGCCGACCTCGAAACTATTTGCCCCACTTAGTGGGGTCCATGGCCGTGGATGTCAAAACATCCATCCTCGGCGTGCCCTGTGCCCGGCGCGACCCACCAGGTCGACAGACGCGCCTGCGACCGCCAGCGCTGCCGAGGAAAAAGTGACGCGCCGAGCCAGTGATCCAGGCCTCCCAGTGGGGTCGGAGTGGATAGGGTCGGAGGATCGCGACGCATCGCCGATGCGTCGCCGAGGCGGCTCGATGCGGAACCCGATTCACTTCACGTCGACGTCGCCGACGCATTGCCGATGCTTCGGCGATGCATCGCTGGTGCATCGCTGGAACATCACCCACGCATCGCCGATGCGGCGCGATACTCCGACCCCATCTGCCAGCTCGGCCGGGCCTCCCCGCCACCACTGCCGGATCCGTCTCGGGATGGCGGCCAGGGCGCGCGACCACCGGCCAGGTTGAAGTCGGGCGGTGTCCCCTTACGGGAGAATATTCAAACAATTGTAGACAATAACCAAGGAACTATGCTTTGATTTATTTTTGCAACTATGTTTGAATATTTGTTGACCATGTCAAGTTTTTGTTCAAAATCCGCCTGTAAGGGGGCATACCCGACCCAAGGCCAGGTCGAGCCAGAAGAGGGTCGGTTGGGGGCCCTATTCCTGGGACCTCCGGGGTCCGTCTCTGGATGGGCATCGGGAGACCCGAAGGGCTGGACCTGTCGAGGGCGGAAGATGGCAAGCTCTTCAGAACCCGTCGTATTTTCTTTGGGGGTTTCTCCGAAAGGCTTCGGCGACCCCTCCTCCTCCTCCTCCTCCTCGTCCTCCTCCTCCTCCTCGTCCTCCTCCTCGTCCTCCTCCTCTTCCTCCTCCTCCTCCTCTTCCTCATCCTCCTCCTCCTCCTCGGGTCGCCTACGGCCCCGGGGGAAATCGTGAAATGTTCCTTTGGTTCATCGAGCACAAAAAGAACCCTTAACCTTAATAACACGGTGAAGACATGGCCTCACTGAGGTCCCCAGCTTCGCATTAGGGATCATCGTTCTGGACGGTCTGGTCTGATACGTCTGCAGAACCGACCTCCTATGCCTAGTGTTCTTTTGGCCCCTTTCTAGCTTGGGTCCCCTCCCAAAGGGTCAGGGGTCTTTAGCTGGTGAATCGTGGTTGTTGCAGCGAACTGGGCGTCCTGCTGGACTTGCAGGAGCATCTTTGGGGCATCTTGGAGGCCCCCGAGGGGTCCTCTTTTGTCGCGGTGCTGCAGCCCCGAGGGGCCGGAGAGTCAGGACCCGGGGGGGCTGCTCGTTGGCGTATGGTTGGTGCCTTCCTGCGAGGGGCGCGGGGGGGCCCTTTTTTGGGGGGGGAGGGGGGAGGCGAGGAGAGGCGAGAGGGGGGGAGAGCGACGCAGGAAGTCTGCCCCAGGGTGGCCTCCTCCGTTCTCGTTCTGGCCCCCGCCCCCCTCCCTCCTCCCCTCCCTCCTCGTGTCCCCCCTCACCCCCTTGTACAATTTCACAATAGGAGTACTACTTACTACTCTCCTCTCTCACCTGGTGACGTCCGGGAAATGGCCGGCCCCCCTCCGCATACATGTTTCTTACACCGGATTCTTGGGCTCTTTGTTTCAAAATGTTGCTCTCGCTGAGGTGCTGGCTTCATGTTCGGGCCACCCGCTCGTCCCGAATCGTGCTCCCGCCGCAGCGCTGGCCTCATTTCCGCGCTTCCGCTCGTTCCGAATCGTGCTCCCGCTGCAGCGCTGGCGTCATTATTTCCAGCGCCATGCCACGGCATGGTTTTCGGTCTTTCCAACCAGGCTCCGAAATGTAGAAAAAGGCCCCCCGAAGAAACCATCGGAAGCGATTGCACATTCGGTGCCAATTCGTCGATGTCTTGTGCCGCGGACCCCCCCCCTCCGTTTTGGGCGTTGCCACGCCATGCTACGTTATGCTACGCGTTGATCTTCAATACCATGCTATGCCATGTAATGCTATGCCATACCACGACATCCAACTGTGCGAACAGAGAAGGATCTATGCCACGATAAGTCTGGTTCGCCTTAACATCGCCCTGGGCGTTTTTGTTCACTGTTCCTGCACTGGGCTCTCGACAGGATGGGAGCGCTAACACACGCTACAGTGCGTTTGCGTTTTTAGGGCCGTGTGTTGTGCGATTATTTGTGTGTGGTTTAGCGCGTTCAGGCTGCAAACGCTTTCAAACATGATGAGCACACTAAAACAACGCCTGAAAACGCGAACACATGATTTCCAAGTCGCCGAGCTGAAAACGCTAACAACAACGCCCTGCGCATACTTAAGGCGAACCAAGATGGCAAAATATAGGAGGGAGGGGTAGAAGGTCAGATATGACGCGAGCGCACCTAGCTTGTCGTCTCCCCCCTCCTCCTCCTCCCTCCCTCCTTTCACTTGGACCACGTCCTGGAACTCTTGCTCTTATTTACTCGAAGCCCCCTCGCCTCCTCCCCTCCCTCCCCGTCTCCCGTCGTCCCTCCTCCTCTCCCTCGCCTCCTCCTCCCTTGCTCCCGCCTTGCTGTGCCCCCTTCTGCCACCTGCCCGCCCGCCTGCTTTGCCCGGCTGGCCTTGGGCTCCCGCCTGCGCGTTCGCCGTCGCCTGCTGGCCCACCGCCTCCTCCGCCGCCGCGCAGCAGGCTGCCGGGAGTCGGCGGCGGACCCTCGGCGGGAGCTGGTCGGGCGGCTCGCGGCCGGCCTCCTCATTTTTCCCACAGGCAGGCTGCAGGTCCGGCCTTCGGCGACGGCAGCTGCAGAGGCACCAGGTCTTGAGGTGGCCTCCTCCCTTGGTCCCCGACGCGGGTGTTGCTAGAAGTGCCCCCGCCCGTCTCCCCGATCCGCCCTTGCGTGCGTGCTTGCCGCCCTGGCCGCTCTCCCCTCCCCCTCCTCCTGGTCCGCGTCTGTTCGGTGCGTTTCCCCTCGTCCTCCCGCCCCTCCTCCCCGCCAGTCGGCCGGGAGATCCAATCCGCGGAAGGCCGAGGTGCGGCAGGCCGGCCAGGGACTGTCCAAGAGGGCCCCGAGACTCCCCAGGCCGCCTGCGAGAGGATCTCCAAGGAGGCCCCCACGGCCTTCAGAGCACCCCTCCCGAGGCCCAGATGGCCCCTGGGATAGCCTAGAGCGCAAGGCTGGGGGCACCTTGGGACAGGGGCACCTCCAGCAACCTCCGACGCAACTCCTCTTCTCTCCCGCAGTGAGGAGGAGGAGGCGGAGGAGGAGGAGGAGGCGGAGGAGGAGGAGGGTGAGGCGGTGGAGGAGGAGGAGGCGGAGGATGAGGATGAGGAGGAGGAGGAGGAGGAGGAGGAGGAAGAGGAGGAGGAGGAGGAGGAGGGTGTGCTATGCAAGTGGTCGGGCGACCACGGCGAATCCACCCGTCCGCGGCGAGAGCATGGCGGCGACCGTGTTCCTCTAGTAGATGTCCTCGGACATGGAGCCTGGCCAGCTCGACTTCTCCTCTGCGGCGGCTTTCTGCCTGGCACGGCGATGGCAAGCCCGAGGATGTGAACGGCTTCCGCTCCCCTTTCCCTTCCCGCCTTCCCTTCCCTTCCTCCCTCCCCCCTCTCCCTCCCCCCTCCGCCTGATTCCCGTCGTTGTGCCAGTCTATGGCCTCCCGCCCCCGTTCGTTTCCCCGTGTACGGCCCTCTGCCGCTCCCTCCGTATCGTCCCCCCCCCGTCCCCCCCCCCCTCTCCATCTCTCACCTCCGCACCCATCCCCTTTCCATCCCTGGTCCTGCCACCCTTCCAGGTCCTTCTGTGTGTAGCCTGTTTCCAGAACCGCTCAGGTTCCCTCGAGAACCATTGCAACTCCCACTCCCGAGTCCATCCCTCCTCTCTCTCATTCGGCCCCCCCCCCCTTCCCCTCCTGCCCCCACCCCCCTTCATCATTCTTGCCCGTCGCCGCCGCAGGAGGAGGAGTCCCAGCTGGTCGAACCTGCCGACTACTCTGTGGTCCCAGCCGATGCGAGCCAGTGGCCCCAGAGTGCGGCGAAGAAGGGACAGGGACTGAGCTCGTCCTCTTCCACGTCCTCCTCCACCTCATCCCTCCTCATTCTCCCCCCTGTTTTTTCTATGCCTCGTTCTTGCGGGGCGCGTCCTTCTCATTCGTCTCCTTCTCTTTTCCCCATACCTCCCGTATCTCCTCCCCTCCTCCTTCCTTCTGCCCCCGGGGGGCTGTTTCAATGCATGAGGGATGGAGGAAGAGGGAAGGGGGGTGGAGGAGGTGGTAGGAAGGAAGGGGGGTGGAGGATGTGGTGGTACGTCGTGTGCGGCGACCCTGGATTTTGACCGCTGGACGCTCCCACACCACCACCCCGTGTCGCGAATGCTATCGTTCCTGGGCCCCTGGAGTCTTCTTGACCTCTCCCCCCCAGGAGCGGCCTTCCATCCTCCCGAGTCTTTCCCTGGGCCTGGCGGCACCTGGGCCTGGCAGGGGGGAGGGGGGGCGCCAGGCTTAGGTCGGGCACGTCCTTCTACGGGCGGACCTTGGGCGAAACATTGAGCATATCCCAAACACATGTGTAAGAATAGCCAACAATAGTCGAACAGCCGTCACCCGATTATTTCCACACTCATGTTTGAGGAGTGCTCCTCCTGCAGAGGCACGGGCCCGACTCTTGGCCAGGCGGCGACAGCGCTCAGAGACCGCCCCGCTGTGTGCTCTCTGCCCCCCGGCGCCGAGAGGGCCTGCGCTGCCGACCCTCTCCCTTCGGAGGCAACTCCTGGGAGGTCCAATTCTGATTTTGCCCTGGTCCGAAATCCAAGGGCTCCCTCGAGGGCGCGAAGTTATTCGCGCTTCGCGCTTCGCGGTCCTCGTTCCTTCTCCCCCTCCTCCTCGTCCTCCTATTCTCCCTTTGGGGGGGCGGCGCGAGGGCGCGAAGTTGGGAGCCCTTGAAATCCGGCTTAATCCCGCTTAATCCGGTTTAATCCCGTTCGATCCCGCCTAAGCCGGCTTAATCCCGCTTATAATCCGAGGCCCACTCCGGCGCATTATAGCCCCCCAGTGGGGCTTAACATCCTCTCTCATCCTTCCGACGAACACCTCCCAGCGGTTGGCTCCTGACCTCCCCGCGGCCAGGTGGCGCCACGCGCTGCGGGCGCGGGCGGGGATGCTCGCGCGCCGGGCCCGGTCAGAGGCCGTGCGGCGTCCCGCCACCGCGCCGGCCGCCCGCGGGGATCTTGCGGGCGGCGGCGGGCGGCGGCGGCCCGTTCGGAGCGCCGCGCGCGCCCGCCGAGGCGATGGCGGTCGAGGACGCGAGGCCCCTGCGGGGCAGGTGCGTACGCCGTGCAGACTCCTGGCCTCTCCGGATGGGTTGTCGGAGCTCCGTGCGGGGCAGGTCCGTGTGGGCTGGCAAGGGCTCCCTCGAGGGCGCGAAGTTATTCGCGCTTCGCGCTTCGCGGTCCTCGTTCCTTCTCCCCCTCCTCCTCGTCCTCCTATTCTCCCTTTGGGGGGGCGGCGCGAGAGCGCGAAGTTATTCGCGCTTCGCGTAGCGCGAAGCGCGAAGTTGGGAGCCCTAGGCTGGTACCACGCCAGGGCTCATCTCCTGACAGGTTGCCAGGTCCGTGCGCAGATTTTCCGCACGGAGTGTTCGGTTTCCGCCCGGACTTCCTCCGTCTGGAGTCGGCATCTCCTGATCGAGGGCGAGGACGATCAAGGTTCGAAGATCAATCAGGGGCAAAGTTAGGGCAGGGATGCATCCACCCCCAGTCGCACGTTGGTCGTCGGCAAGGGCCCTATAGCCCACTCCGCTCAGGCACGTGGGGATTCGCCGTCGGTCTTCCGCGGCGGAGGGCGGCGGAAGGGCCGCGGAATGCGGCGAAAGCAAAACGGGGGCGGCGGCTCCACCAGCGGAATTCTGCAGAAGGCCGGCGGAAGTTGGCGGAAAGCTTTGTTTGACCAACAGATTCGAAAATCCGATAATCGTGTAGCTAGCCTCTGAGGCACGTCCAGACACTGGTCGTCTCCAGGACAAAGTGTGCTCGCTTGCAGCCTCTGGGGGCATTTCCTGGGCTTCTGGACAACAAGAAAATGTGATTCGGGTGAAGCATCGGCCCGATGGAAAAGGAGTCAGTTGGGCGCCCGTGCTGAAAAATAGCAACTTCAGAAGTCTTGGTGCCGCTCATATATAAGGTCCCTCCCCTGGCCTCCTGGGATCAGGCCTCAGAGGTCTCGACTCTTTCCCAGTATTGATCCTTCATCAATTGTGTAGCTTTTTGGGTGGCCCTTGGATTTGGAGCTGGCCTAGACTGCCCAATACTCTGTCAAAAAGGCCGTCCTGACTCTTCCGTGGCGAAAGATGTTTGGACAGGTTGCGACACGTGTATTGGAGATGCCTTACGGCCGGCGCCGCCGACCCTCAACGACGACGACGAAGACGACGACGACGATGATGATGCTGACGTGGGTCAGAGTCATCAGGGATGCTTCTTGGGGTCTCTTCGGGGCGCTCTCGGTGGCTTCTGGGGGGTGTTTTTGGAGCTTCTTGGGAGCCTCTTGGAGGCCTGTTGGGAGGTTCCTGGGGGCGTCTTGGGGCTTTGCGGGGGCCTCTTGGAGGTTGCGGGGCGTCTTGGGGGCTTCCTAGCCTCTCAGGCAGAGGGCTCCAAATGTCCGTTCGGGTCCCCCGTCTGGGCACTCTCTTGGAGCCATCTTGGGGGCCTCTTGAGCCGTCTTGGAGCGCCGGGAAGCCGAAGAGGCGAGAGTCTTCAAGTCAACCACAGACTGGAAAATCAATGATTTGTGCCTCTTGGGGTCCTCTTGGGAGTGGTCTTGGAGGCCTCTCGGGGCGTCTTAGAAACCTTTTGGGCCTGCTGGAGGCTACTTTGGCGTCTTGGACCGATAGTTCGGCCATTCAGGGCCCTCTTGGACCGTCTTGGGGCCTGTTGGTTCAGTCTTGGTTCGTTTTGTTAGGTTTGGGGCTTTGGGACCCCCTGGGAGGGGTGCCAGAACTTGGAAAATCAATGATTGGTGCCTCTTGGGGTCCTCTTGGGAGTGGTCTTGGAGGCCTCTCGGGGCGTCTTAGAAACCTTTCGGGCCGTCTGGAGGCGACTTTGGCATCTTGGACGGATAGTTCGGCCATTCGGGGCCCTCTTGGACCGTCTTGGGGCCTGTTGGTTCAGTCTTGGTTTGTTTTGTTCGGTTTGGGGCTTTGGGACCCCCTGGGAGGGGTGGCATTCTGATCCCGGACTTGCCCCAGGTCCTCCTCGGGATCCCCTGAAGATAGCTCGAAAAATTGCGGAAACTGTGTGTTCGTTCGTGCGCTGGAGGCTTCGAAAGCTGACTCAGAATGTTCGCCATGAGGCATGTTCCAGTCCAGAGCATAGAATCGAATATTCTGAAGCCGATCCGGATAGTCAGGAAGACAGTTATTGGGTTGGGTGGATGGGGTTGGGAGAAGTGAGGATATCCTTATTCGCAGGCGGCCGAAGGTATCGTTCATTGCATCTGGATGCTAGTGTTCATACCCTTCACCCTCCCAACCCCCTCCGCCCAACATGGTAGTTGACCTACCCGGATAACGCATTCCAGCATTTTCCAGCATCGAAGCCCCAAACAATCCAACAGAGGTTCGGGACGTCGGCGTGGCGCAAAAAAGACTGCATGGCGAAGTCGTGACCCTCCGGGAAGGCGGGGGCCCCCAGAAGCTCCCGAGTTTTTTTTGTCGTGTGAGAGTCCTCAGAGCTGAGACGCCTCCGATGCTTCCCGAGGGGCCCCTTTGCCCTCATCGATGGTCGCCCTCTATTTCGCGCGAGCCTCCTCGTTGCTGGAAACGCTTCCGAATCTCCGTGTGAGCCTCCTCAGAGCTGAGACGCCTCTGTTTTTTCGCGCGAGCCTGCGAAGAGCCGAGACGCTCCCGATGCCGTCCGAGGAGCCCTCCGCCCACCCACCCTTTCTTGAGGAATGATGCTCTTGTATATCGCCAGAGGGACCAGACCCCTGGCGTCCATGATTGTTCATGACGTGGACCCCCGGAGGCCTGGACCCCTTCCCGCGGTCTGTCGTTTCGTCCCGGGCCGTGGCTTGACGGCCCCGAGGCCCGGCAAGGGCCCCTGGCGGCCGCACATAGCAAGAAGCCGTCCGTCGTGATTTTTTGCCACGGCGCGTGAAGGCAAACTCCTTTCATAATGGACGCCCAGAGCCCTTCTGGGGTCCAAGCGCACCCGCCTTTCGAGCTGCGCCCAGCCGCGGTTACGAGGAGGGCCCTCAAAGGCCAAAATGCCTCGAACCTCGAGGTGCGAACCTCGATCATCGAGGTTCGAACCTCGAGGTTTTCGCGACGCGAGGGGTCCTGGGAAATTTCAGCAGTGGCGAGGCGTCCTGGCCAAATACTGTTCTCGGAAGCGATCTGTCCTCAGAACAGTTCTGGCTCAGACTGTCTTGTTTTAAGATCGGAGGTGAGGGGGTGAGATCGAAGTTGAATGGAGAGCCCCCCTACCGGGAAATCGGTTTCGGTTTCGTGTTCGTACGTGCCGCACGTGTGGGCGAGGCGAAGCTGCGTGGGCGGGCGAGAAATAAGTCTCCTGTAGCTGAGGCACGGCCGGACCAAAAGTCTCCGTTCCGGCAACCGGTGCCCCGCGGTGTCCCGCCGGTGTCCCCTTCGGGGGCCGGTGGCGCGCGGTGTCCCGCCGGTGTCCCGCCGGTGTCCCGTCGGTGTCCCGATGATGATTATCATGATGATGATGATGATGATGATGATGATGATGATGGTGATGATGATGATGCTGATGATGATGATCATGATGAGGTTGAGGATGTTGACGATGATGATGATGATGATGATGATGATGATGACGATGGTGATGGTGGTGATGATGGCGTCCCGATGATGATGATGATGATGATGATGATGATGATGTTGATGATGATGATGATGATGATGTTGACGATGTTGATGATGATGATGATGGCGATTGTGGTGATGAGGATGGTGCCCTGATGATGATGATGTTGATGATGATGATGTTGCTGATGATAATGATGGTGCCCCGATGATGATGTTGATGATCATGGTGATGTTGATGATGATCAGATGATGCTGATGATGGTTTTCCGATGATGATGATGGTATCCTGATGATGATGATGTTGATGATGATGGTGACGATGATGGTGTCCCGGTGATGATGATGATGGTGGTGATGATGAGGACCATGGTGATGAGGTGATGAGGATGGTGCCCTGATGATGATGCTGTTGATGATGATGATGATGATGTTGCCGATGATGATGATGGTGCCCCGATGACGATGTTGATGATCATGGTGATGTTGTTGATGATGATCAGATGATTTGATAATGATGATGAAAATGATGATGATGGAGTCGCGATCATGATCATGATGATGATGAAGTTGATGATGATGCTGTTGATGATGATGGTGATGAAGATGATGATGGTACCCCGATGATGATAATGATGATGATGACGGTGATGGTACCCCGCTGATGATGATGTTGATGATGCGGATGATAATGAAGATGATGATGTTGATGAGTGTTGCCCAATGATGGTGATGATGATGCTGATGTTGATGATGAGGATGATGGTGTCCCGGTGATGCTGATAATGATGATGGTGATGATGAGGATGGTGACGATGATGATGGTGTTTCGATGATGATGATGTTGATGATGCTGTTGCTAATGATGATGATGGTTTCCCGATGATGAAGATGATGATGATGATGATGTTGTCTATAATCAAGATGGTGAAATGATGCTGATGGTGGTGTTCCGATGATGATGATGATGATGATGATGGTATCCCGATGATGATGATGCTGATGATGATGGTGACGATGATGGTGTCCCGGTGATGATGATGATGGTGGAGATGAGGATCATGGTGATGTGGTGATGATGATGGTGTCCCGATGATGCTGATGATGATGCTGTTGATGACGACGTCGATGACGATGATGTTGATGATGATGGTGATGATGATGATGATGACGTTGGTTGTGAGATCGATTGTGAGATCGATAGTGAGATTGATAGTTAGACCGAATGGGAGATCGATTGTGAGATCGCTAGTGGGATCGATAGTGAGACCGATTGTGAGATCGACAGTCAGATCGATTGTCAGATCGATCGAATGAAATAGATCGAGTGAGATCGATTGTCAGATCAATCGAGTGAGATCGATCGAGCGAGACCGATAGTGAGATCAATAGTGAGATCGATAGTGACACCGATCGAGTGAGACGTTGGTTCCTCACCCCCGAACCTCCTTATCACCCGAAGGCTGGTCGTATAGGTATCGGGTTTATGTCCTAAGCACATTGGTTTGGTTCTTAGAACATTGCTTGATTTCAAGAACATGTCGTGGTGGGCCTATATCGGATTGCTCGGACGATCGGTCCCTGCTCAAGGGATGGTATGCCTCGCGTGGGCGCCCGAGGTCACGCTGCAGCTTCGGGGCGCCTCGCCTGTCCCGAGACTTTGCTTTTCTTCTTGTGCCCGACGCGGGCTCGAGGCGGACTCGACGCGGATCTGGCGCGGACTCGACGCGGATCCGGCCCGGATCCGACACGGCTTCGACGCGGAGTCGACGCGGAGGGGGCCGCGACGGGACAGGGCGGGGCGATGCCGAGGTGCTTGGCGCCCCTCGCGCGGGGCCAGCACCACCACGCCGGCTCCGTGGCGAAGCTGGTCCGCTTCCTGGGCGCGGTCGGCCGCGGGGGGCGAGGACGCCGACGGCGACGACGACGACGACGGCGGCGGCGGCGACGACGACGACGACGGCGGCGGCGGCGGCGCCGACGACGACGACGACGACGACGACGATGGTGGCGACAACGACGACGACGACGACGACGACGACGACGACGACGACGACGACGACGACGACGGTCGCGACGACGACGACGACTACGACGACGACTACGACGACGACAACGGCGGCGACGGTGACGACGACGACGATGACGATGACGGCGGCGACGACGACGACGACGACGGCGGCGGCGACGCTGACGACGACGACGACGACTTTGACGACGACGGTGGCGACGACGACGACGACGACGACGACGACGACGGTGGCGACGACGACGACGACGACGATACGACGACGACGGACGACGACGACGACGACGGCGGCGACGGCGACGACGACGACGACGACGGCAACGACGACGACGACACGACGACGACTGTGGCGGCGACGCCGACGACGACGACGACGACGGTTGCGACGACGACGACGACGACGACGACGACGACGACGGCGACGACGACGACGACGACTATGACGACGACGACGACGACGGCTGCGACGACGACTTTGACGACGACGACGGCGGCGACGACGACGACGACGACGACGGCGGCGGCGACGCCGAGGACGACGACGACGACGACGACGGCGACGACGACGACAACGACCACGACGACGGTTGCGACGACGACGACGACGACTACGACGACGACAACGACGACGGCGGCGACGACGACGACGACGACGACGGCGGCGGCGACGACGACGATGACGACGATGACGACGGCGTGGGCGACGTCGGCGGCGGCGACGGCACCAAACACGGTTACGGCGATGACGTGGTCGGACGGGGCTACTGCGAGGATGCATCGATTCCAGACCAGAGTGTTCTGAGAAGGCCGCGGTTCGGAGAATTCCAGAGCCGCCGAATCTCGAAGATCCTTGATGTGTCCTCACCCATTCGATCCTCGTCCTGGCTTCGTCCCAGGTGAGGCTTCGGGCTGCGCTCAGAACCCCCCCCCCCCGCAGGAAGCCCCGGCTGTCCTCAACGGGTCCTTCGAGTGGCCTCAGCGGGCCCCCCGAGTGGTCCGGGGACGCCTCGACGTTTTGGCGCTGCCTCCGCTGCGCCCCCGGGGCGCGCTGCGCCCCAGGGTTGGGGTGTTGAGACCGAGCCGGGCTCCTCGGGGAGCCCGTTTAGGCCAGCTGGAACTACTTGGGAGGGCTGTTTGTGCGCAGTCCGAAGCCTTGACAGGCAGGATCCAGGCCTGCGGCGTCCTGCTTCCCAGACCCCCCTCGAGACGTGCAACACTCGTGACGGAAGGGTTTCTGTCGCTCCATGTTCAACCTCTACATTGGGGGCCCTCGTCGGTCCCCGGGAGTTTCTACAACAGCGACTCGGGACCAGCAGCCGGCCATCGAGAAGGGGTCAAGACCTCCAGGGGTCCAAGTGGTTACAATTGAGAGCACGTAGGGGTCGTGGTTCTGTTGAGTGCTGGCGTTGCACTCGATACTCGGCCTCCTGAGACCCGCTTCAGGCTCCCACCGAGGCCGTCAGGAAACGACGTACAAAGACGGGCCTGTGGGGAGAAGTTGGACTGCACAACGTTCACGGCAGGGTTTCGGAAGCTGTTCAGGCAGAGCGTGTGTCAACGTGCGCGCGCTCATGCAGCAATGCGCGCGAGAGGTGTGTTGAATATTCGGGTTTCTCCGATGCGTTTTTTCTTCTGCTCATGCACGAAGCAAGGTTTGTCTGGGTAAGAGCAGGTGTCGGAGGTTGATGGGAAGTCCCGCAGATTTCTGGAGGCGGCTGGTGGTCTTCGGTCCTCTGGGGTGCTTTCGATCGGCTCTGCCGCGTCTGGGGACTTCTGGTCAGCTAGAATCGTCCCGCACAGCCCGGAAGCCAATGGAGGATGATCACTTCTCGTGCCTTCTAAGCACTGACGGGGCCTCGCACGGTTTTTTCTCGCGCTCTGGGAGACGCCCAAGAGCAAGGTTTGAGGGAAGAGGGGCGTTGACCCTCGGGCGTAGCGAACAGATTCACGACCGGCATTTTGTTATACGTGAGATATATGTTCAGAATCAATACGTGTACATCTGTCATCTGTACATACGCCTTCGGTGCCAACCTCTGGACACCAGGACGATCCAATCACGGCTCGTTGCGAATAACAGGAGCTGTTCCGGGGAGTTGTTTGTCGTGTCAGGCCGAGGGTGGGCGAGGAACGCTGAGCCCGACGCTGAGGACGACTGCGACGAGGGTTACAAGAAGAGCAGGAGGGTGGGGAGGAGGATGATCCGCTGCGCCTGTCTTGTTTTAATTGGTTGGCTTTTGGGCAGAAGTAAGCATCATCATGCATTGTTTCGTCCCACCGAACGCTACAGCACAATGGCTTGAGTTCGCGCAGCGGGAAGAGGAGGTTCCCAGTTGCCGCGCAGCCTTCGCGCACCAGGCGGCAGCAGGAGGGGTGGGCGGTGGCGGAGCGGAGAGGAGGTTAGAGGAGGTTCGAGGAGGTGGATCAGGAGGAGGAGGAGGAGGAGAGGGAGGAGAGGGAGGAGGAGAAGGAGGAGTAGGAGGGTGAGGAGGGGTATGAGGTGTAGGCGGAGGAGGAGGGACGAGGAGCGGGATGCGGCGATGATGGCGCAGGAGGCAGGCGGCCGTCGTCGCCGCCGGCGGTGGCGCAGACGACAGGCGACGAGGGGCGGCTCGGCGAGCGGTCGCGTGGCTCGGCGTTCGCGCGCGAGGTCTCGCACATGGCGCGGGCGATGGCGCCCGCGGGCGCGGAGGGGCCGCGGCCTCGCGCGCGCGCGGGGCCGAGGAGCGGGGCGGAGCAGAACGGCGAACCGCCGCCAGGCGCAGAGAGCCACAGACTTGGGGCGGATCGTGTTCTTGTGCGTTTGTGTCGTTGGTTGCTCTTTCTCTCTCCCTCTGGCTCCCTGCCGTCTCTCTGGAACTCTCTCTCTGGCTCTCTCCCTCTGGTTGTCTCTGGCTGCGGCGGCTGGGGGCGCCTCGTCGTTCGCATACCGCGTAGCGGTCAAGCACTTATCCCCCTTGCCGCCAACCGGGGCTTCGCCGAACTGGGCCCTTTTTTCCCACGCGGGGCGCAGAGAGACTTGGCGTATCGCTTGGGTACCCCGCCTTTTGCCACAGAGCTTCGTGCGGGGGGGGTTGTTTCAACATCCCCTGTTCGCCAAGAGTGCGATGGCGGCCTTGGCTGCAGTAGTAGCCGGCTGTAGCCGACTGTCAACGGGTTTCCCTTTACTTGTCAGTTCTCTATTTTTTTCTCTCTCTCTCTCTCTCTCACTCTCTTTCACTCTCTCTCTCTCTCTTTCTGTCTTTCTCTCTCTGTTGTTTTTTGTCTCTCTCTCTCTCTTTCTCTCTCTCTCTCTATCGCTCCCTCTCTCTCCTTGTTTTGTTTCTCTCCCTCTCTCTCTCTCTCTCCCTCTCTCTCCCCCTCTCTCCCTCTCTCTCCCTCTCTCCCATTCTCATTCTCCCGATCCTCAGGCAGGGCGATCTCCACACGTGTTGTCCAGCTGATGCTTCTGGATCCTGGCCTTCCTTGTCTGGTTCTGGCCCCCCAGGGGGCCCGCGCGCGGGCCCCCAGGGGCCGACAGGAGTGGGCCCCAGGGGGGAAGGGGTGCGGGGGTCGAGGCCTCTTGTGGAGCCCGCTCCGCCTCCTCCTCCTCCTCCTCCTCCTCCTCCTCCTCCTCCTCCTCCTCCTCCTCCTCCTCCTCCTCCTCCTCCTCCTCCTCCTCCTCCTCCTCCTCCTCCTCCCGGGGGTCGATCCCCCCTCGGGGTCCCGGGCGGAGGGCGGAGGCCGGCCGCCGGCCGCTGCCCCGCTGGGTCCCGAATTGCCCCCGGGTTTTCCCACGGGCGCGGGGGCAGGGGAGCCTTGAGACGGGGGTCAATCCAGACGGGGGTCAGCCAGGGCGCCAGATCCTGCAGGATCCTGCGAAGATTCCCTCTGGCTGACCCGGGTTAGGGAGCCGCTCGTGGCCGCGAGGCGGCCGCGCGTATTGGTTGACCCGGGTTCGCGAAGATCTGCGTTGCAGTTTTTTTATCTTGCATTGCAGTTTTTGGTTTCCCGCTGACCCGGGTCTGCATTGACCCGGGTCAGAAGATCCCCGAGGGGCAGGGGGGGGGGGGCGATGATGGACAGCGCGCCGTTTGGGCCCGAAGGGGGGCCTTCTGAGGCCCCGGGGGGGGGCCTGAAAGAGGGGTGCGGGCGGTGCGCGCCCCCTCGCCCCCCCCTCTCTCTATGTGTGACGCCCCCCCCCCCCCCCCCACCCCCCCAGTGAGCAACGCCCCGTCTTCGGGGGGCGCGGTTGCCTGCAGTACGGGGGACGGGGCTGCCCGCAGTCCGAGACGCGCGCCGACAGACGGCGCTGGGAGCCTCAGCGCCTCGCGGCGCGATGGCCGTGACGGATCGCCTCGTGTTGCGTCACTGGGCGCGCGGCGGTGGCACGCGGTCCGCTGCAGCGAAGCGAAGGCATTCGGAAGGGCCGCCTGCGACCTGGTGCGAGGCGATCCGGTTTGCTGGCCAGTGCCGCCGTTCCAATGCGCTTCGGCCCACCAGCATCGACCAGGGCCAGCGGGAGCCAGGCGCGGCTATCCGAAATCGATTCGATTCGGGACGGCCCGCACGCGATCCGATCCGTCAACGATCCGCCCCGATTTCGCAACGCGATCTAGCTCCAGCCTGGCCGTGGTCCGGGGGGAGCCTGCGGTCAGGGGTGTTTGAACTGTCGAGTGGCCCAGGGGGCGCTGCGTTCGGTCCGGGGTCCACCTTAGATGCCCCCAGGCAACTTCGTCTCATAGGCAGCCGAGCATGGCCCCTAAAAAGTTCCCGAAGCGGACCCAGGACGCTTCAGGAGTGAAGGGGCCCCGAACTCCTGAAGGGAGCTCCGAAAGACCCGTAAGACCCTCGAGCGAGCTCCGAAGGCCCCTCTCCAAAGGCTCCCCTTCAGGAGGCTCCACATGCTTTTCTCCAGGCCTGCAAGGAATAGCGATTGCCTGCAGAATGGCCTCGTGACTCCGATGCGCTCTGGTGCGCTCTCGACTCCTGTTCGGTGTTCCTGCCAGGGGGCACTGCGCCCCGTGCGCGTCCGATCAGGCTCTGGGCAGGAGATGGGGCAGGATATTTCACCGGGCAGGAGATCGGCCTCGTGATCGGGCCCGCACCCCAGTCCCCCAGAGGATCAAGCCGTGCCATTCGTGCAGCTTCTGGGGGGGTGGACGGGGCAGCCTTGCGCGGGGGCGTTGGTCGCCGGCATGGTGGTGCTCCTGGGCGCGATGCTGCTCACAGTCGCTGCGGTGCAGGGCCTGGCGGTGGTTTCGAGGAGGTGTGCGCATGCGATGTGGCAGCGTTGCCTGTGTCACTGAAGGCCCCGGGTTTCGACCCAGGACAGTAGGCAAACGTGTGACTTATGGCAGGGAGGAGGGCAGCATCTGCTGTATATATCCTTCTCCATGTCTGCTGGCTCCTCATCTTCCCCATCTAGTAGATACGCTGAAGTACGTAACAGCCTGGATTCGCCAGGGGCTTGCTGTCCCAAAGGTATTTGGAAGGTTCTTCCTCCAGCGTTATTTGAAAGCACCCATGCGCTTTCTGGGCCAACTATGCGCGTCATGCCGTACTTGGTGTTGCTCACGCTATTATTTCTGAGTGCGCTTGACATATTGTAGTATCATTTCTCGTTTTCGTGACCGCCATTTTTAGCCCCAACCTTCTCGTCCCCCACGTCCTCCTGCGCCGCTCTTGTGGCCAGGAGCGCATAAGTGACCACTTCTGCAGAAGGACGCTCTCCCTGTTCGACGGGGCGGGATCCTGGAAACAGTGCCGCGCCCGAGCCTCATAGTCCCATAGTGAGTCAAACGAGAAGGCGCGGGAGGCCTCGGGAGTCAAGAACATGCGCCCGCCCGGCCCAGAGGGCGCCACGGGAACCATTAAGTTCCCAGTCTCGCAGAATGTATGTTTGAATCGGTTTGGTCAGCCTGTCCGCTCCAGGTTTTTCTGCCGAGGGATCAGATGATTTTACGGCCATCCCCGTGCTCTTATCGCTTCTACCTCATTTCCCTTCCTCCTAGTTCTGCTTCTGCTTGTTCCGCCTGGTGGTCACAAAGCCTTGCGGTTTTGTCTGACATGTCTTAATGATCGTAAGCCACTGGTGCGCCCAGGCGTAGAGCTGATGCTTAGAGGAGAACAGTGGCGCTCTCGAGCTGTTGTGGCATCGGCAGGGTCCAGCATACTGCTGCGCATGCGCGTCGCACTCGCAAACTCTTATGGCACTGGCAGGGTCCGGCTTCCATCGCCGTCTTGCTATCGCATGCAAATGGCGGTACTCTCAGGCGTGCGTGGCGTTCGCAGGGTATTGTGGTGAGCGCACGCACGTTGCCGGCGTTCGCGCGCGATCATCGCGGTCCTCGCAGGTTGATGCGGTAGCCGCAGGGCTTGGAATATCCCTGTGCTGGCACGCTGTGTTCGATGGCTCTTGAGGTACCCATAAGGTCTGGTGTTCCTTGCGTCCTGTGGTCGCAAGCGCGCGCTGATGACTTCGGGAACTTTGTCTTGCCCGCAGGCTCTGGGGCTGCTCACGGGCACACTGCTGTTTCTCGCAGGCAGATAGGGGCGCTTGCACGCAGTGGTCGCAGTGCTTCCCTGGCTGTGTGTTGGTCGCGTGGCGAGACACGCTGTGGCGCTCGCGTACCCCCGTGGTGCTGAGAGGCACGTTGCCGACGCTCGCACGCGCACCGCGTTGCTTGCGGATTGTTTGGGCTGTTGCGGTGCAGTCAGGGCGTTGCCATCAGGGCCAATGGTGGCGCAGGAGTTGCCTTGCTTTCCGGGCCGTTACTTGATCAGATCCGGGTTCTCGAAGACATTCTTGGCCGAGGCTCGGCGTGGCCAGACGTGCGCGTTCATTATTTAATGTCATGTCAGAGGTACGACGGCATTCGCAGGGTACCCCAGGCGTGGTGTTGTTGTGCTTACACGGTTGCTCGAAAGCTGTTGTGGTGCAGGGAAGCTCCCGATGTCCTCGCCGTCTGGCGGTTTGTGGTGTCCGCGCGCTTGCGTTTGCCAAGCGCGCAACGTGAGCCTCGCACGGGCTGGCGCCCGAACGCACGCAGGCTGGTAGTACGCAGATGCATTTGCGCAGCTGTCGACAGTCGCCCTCCCCTTCCTCCCAGATAACCCAGATGGTCGCAAGAATTGTTACACACGCGCGCACACGCATTCCCCCATTCCCCATGCGCAGTAACTTTTCTGATGCCCTTTCGGTCCATGTAGGGGGCCGAATCATCTGGCTCAGGCCTTTTCCTCCGTCGGTCCCCGGGAGGTGCTGCACCCTGCCAGCGTCCCCGATGCAGCCGCACCAGACGCGGTTGGACGGGCCGCACCAGACGGTGGACCGCTTCGGGAGCGCGCCCGAGAGCGACCGTGACTTCGCAAGCATGTCCTCCAGGGGCCGCCCGCCGGGCGCGCGGCACTACAGCCAGGCGGGCATGTCGGACCTGTCGATGGCGGGGGCGGCTGGCCACAGCGAGCGCCGCCTGGGGCCAGGCTTCACCACCGCGGCGAAGTTCCCCACGCCGCCTCCGACGCCGCCGCACACCCACGCGCCCATCCCGGCAGATGGGCCGCCGCGGCGGCTGTTGGCGCCACCGAGGTCCCCGCGGACCGAGTTCGACTGCATGGGCGTTCCGTGCGTGGGCGATCTCGTGCGGGAGTACTCTTACGATGCCGACATCATGGACGACCAGGCGCCCCGGGAGCACCAGCCGCAGACCTTCGATTTCGTGGGCTTC